GGCATCTTTTTCTTTTTTTTCTTTTTTTGACAGGGTCTCACTCTGTCACCCAGGCTGGAGTGCAGTGGTGCAATCTCGGTTCACTGCAACCTCTGCTTCCCAGGTTCAAGCGATTCTCCTGCCTCAGCCTCCTGAGTAGCTGGGACTACAGGCAACTGCCACCATGACCGGCTGATTTTTCTATTTTTAATAGAGATGGGGTTTCACCATGTTGACCAGGCTGGTCTTGAACTCCTGACCTCAAGTGACCCATCCGCCTCAGCCTCCCAAACCAAAGTGCTGGGATTACAGGCATGAGCCACCATGCCTGGCCTTTGATTTGGCATTTCTTAGGTACAATATGAAAGTGGCCAGCTGGGCCATCCCCTTCCCCGATCCCTGTCGCCATCTGGCTGGCCTGTGAGACCCTGGAAGTTACTCTGCAGGGAGACAGATGTGCTCATTCCTAGCACATCGCAGGGAAGGGGGTGTTTGTAGCAGGAAGAGGAAATTTTGTTCTCTATACTTAGGCCCTTGGCACTCCTCAAACCCTCCTTCCTAAAATGGGCCCCCAGGGTCACTGTCTGTCTGCCACTTCATTTGTCTGTTGGACTTTTAGTTGGTAAGCCACAAACAAGTCTTGCTTGGGAGGAGGTTGTTTAAAAGGTGCCATGACAAACAGTCACTTAACACCACTGCGCCTCTGTTTCCTCACTTGCAAACGTGGGTGGGAGGTAATAACAGTACTTCCTTGTGGAGATCTGGTCAAAATTAAATTCATACATTGGTATGTGTCATGAGAACGTGGATGTAGTTGTAGTTATAGGTGACAGAGACAGACTTACCTATCCTGAGCTGCCTTTATGTCCGGGCCCTGTGCTAGGCCCTGGGCACAAGTGGACCCCATGACTCCACGCTGCCCTCTGGGAGCCACATCCTAGTTGGGGGAGACACGCGTTAGCCTCAGCTTCGGTGCCTCAGTGTGATCAGGGCTGGGAATGCTGCGTGAGTGCAGAGAGGAGCCCTAACTTTGCCTTGGGGGTCAGGGAGGGCAGAAGGGTGTGAGCCAGGCAGGAGAGGGAGGGGCGCCGTCCAAGTGGAGGGGGCAGAGCTGCACGTGCTCCAGTCTGGGTCAGAGATGAGGCTAGACATTCAGGGCTAGGGGGTTTTCCTTTGAGCTCAGATCTACCGCCTCTTCCCAGGCCCAGGGCCCCTGACAGGCCCTGCTGTAGCCTGGTGCTGGCCCCACACCCGACAAGGCCCAAGGTCAGTGCTGCTGTCTTCACCCTGGCAGGGGCAAGGAGCAGCTTTTCATCTAGTTCAGCTTCCTACACTTGAAAAAATGAAAGCTCTCCCTCTCCGCCTCACCCAGGCACACATATTTCACACGGTCATTAGGCGGTGGCACTGAAGGACTCACAAATCTTCCCTGGTCAGTATCGGCAGCCTGGGCGGGCAGTGAGAGGCCCTGGGGACAAGGGTCACCGTGGGAGCCATGGCTATGCCCAGTCCAATGTGGGCAGGGGAGGGCAAGCCGTGCAAGGGTTGGGGGTGTGAAGCCAGCTTCTGCTCTAAGACAGTCCAGTCCTGTCTCCTGGGGCTCATCACCTAATTTCCCTGGGCCTCAGTTGCTCCAGGCCCCAGGGTGAAGGGGTGGGACGCAGGCACCTCATGCATCCTTCCCGTCCTGACAATCCAGAGCAATTTTGTGGCGCACCCAGATCTGAAGGGTTCATCCCCAGGGCTCAGATGTGACCTTCTCCAGGGGCAGCACGCCCCCCATGACCCAGGCCCCTCCCTTCCTGCACACCCCACTTTCTGCTTCTCAGCTGCTGTCCTCCGCCTCCTAGGCTGCTGTCTCTCCTCTACTTCCCTTTCCCTTTTCCTTCTGCCATTTGCTTCTCTTCTGTCCCCTTTCTTCTGAGTCCTGCCTTCTTTACCTTCACCCCAGTCTCTCTGCCCCTTCCCTATTTTCTCTGCACCACCCCCTTCTGATTCATTTTTCAGGCATTTAAGAAGCATCTACTGCATGCCAGGCACCGTCTGTGCTGCACAGTGAGCACCACAGGTACCTTCTCTGCCCTCGTCCTTCCCCAAACCCTTTTCCTTTGACAAAGGCAAATGATGGGGGCCAAGGAGGTATGGTTTGGTCACACAGTGACCTGGAACTGAGCTCTCCACACCACAGTGACGCCTCGCCAAGGGGCTCAATGGCATGGCAGTCAGATCTTCCCGAGACCAAGCTGCAGTTATAACAGTCCAACAAGACCATGCAGTGATGACCGTGATTGTCAGTGGAACCTGGGAGTGGGAAGGGCTCTGGGATTCCTCCCGCTCCCCTTCTCCTCCATCCCTGTAAAGTGAGGATGAATCTGGGGTTGCTTTGGGTGGTGTGGTCTCCTCTTGCCTGGAATAACCAGGCTCCCTTCCTTCTGAGAACAAGCATCCCTCTTGACTCAGAGGCAATAACTGATGAAGGGCAAGGGCATGGCTAGATGGCACAGGATTCCAATCCAGCACTGTTCTTTCTCTAGCTGTGAAGCCTTGAGTGAACGATGTACTGTCTTGATGCCTCAGTTTCCCCATCTGTAAATTGGAGGTGGTGCTGATAATAGTACCTACCTCACAGGGCTGTTGTGAGGGTGAAGGGGTTGTAGGTAGAAGGTGTGCAGGAGCCAGCAGTGGCTGCTGCCGTCGTGAGGAATGGTGCAGGCAGTGGGAGAGGCCCCGTCTGGGAGCCAGTCCTGGGTTGGAGGGTGGTGACATGGTTCAGTGCCTTCCTTTCACTTGTTCAGCACACACCCCCTGAGAACCTGTGAGGAGCTCTGAGCCTGGGTGTGGTGGTGGTGGGGACAGAGGTCTGCACAGTCTGTAGGAGCATAAGCTGTGGGGATATTGAATGGAAATTCGGCACAAGAGGCAGTCCTATACAAGCTGGCAACCTAGAGCCCCCAGAAATGGCATCTTTCTGTATAGCCAAGTGTTCTGGATAACTAAGATCTTAACCCTTTGGGTATAAACTTTTTTTCATTTCATTAATTTGGGATAGAAATATATTTTTCACTTATCTGCCTTCCTGAACTGAATATACTAAACACAAATTAGCTTTTCCTTGAAAATTCAGGCTTATCATAAAGAACATAGAATTTACTGGATTTCATAGAATCCAGGAACTTTAAAAGGAACCTCAAAAAATATTGAGCACAAAGGGATCAAAACATATTTTTAGCCGTGAGGGCTTTATCCACTTACAATCTTATAGAGATACCTTAAATACAAAACAGATGCAAGTGGACCCCAAAGTCAGTCTGACGCCTTTCCCTACGGGCATCTGGTGGCAGGCAGCAGTTTGCCCTGCTCTAGGGCAGTGGCCTGGGAAGAGAGCAGAGGGCACATCTAGAACAGCACCTTGCATGGATTATGTGTTTCATAAGTAACTATTGAATGAACAAATGATGTCATTTAGCCTGCACTGTGGATTAGAACCATGTCAGGGACAATATAGAAGCCAATGTTCCCAGCCACATAAAGCCAAACCCCTACTAGAACTTCAGGTCAGGGGAGATGGAGGAGGCCTCACTGGGATGGCCACAGAGAAGGAACACCAGGTGGGGGTGGAGAAGCCAGTTTCTGTCCCACTCTGCTTCTGACCTGCTCCTAAGCCAGACTGGCAGCAGGCTTTCACCAGGCCTCAGTGAGGTCTGAGCCTCCATTGTGTGACCTGTGAGACAGATGGAAATGTCTGTCTCCCTACCACATGGACAGCTGTGAGGGAAAAACGAAGCCATAGTAAACCTGGATGTTCTTTGAAAATGTAACAGGTATGACAACCATGCAGGCTGCCACCATCATTGTCCTTGTCATCAGCATAAGGCTGGCCCCTCTCCTGTCTATCTCTTTTGACCATAAGTGATGCCAGCCTGGACCAGCCCAGTTAAAAGAGGTCTCAATTAGCCAGGCACAGCAGCTGATCCCTGTAGTCTCAGCTACTCAGGAGGCCACAGTGGGAGGATCCCTTGAGCCCAGCAGTTGGAGGCCAACCTGGGCAACATAGAGAGACCCGTTTCTAAAAAAACAAAAAAAGAGAGAGAGAGAGCGATCTCAGTGAACTCACAAATCGAATCAAGGGTGGGGAAGGGATGTCAGATCAGATTCAGGATTCTAAGACTACCAGAATTTGGCCTTCTCTTCTCCTAGCTTTCCTGAGGTCTGGGTGCATCTTCATCCTCCCCAAACATGCAGCAGCTCTCAGTTCATGTCGCCCCTGCCTAACTCTCTGGAGGAAAGCTTTTATCCCCAGCAACGCAATAGGAAGAGTCCCCAGAGGATTCTGATGGACCCAGCTGTGGTCAAGGGCCATTCCCAGGCCAGTCCCTGTGATCAGGGACAGGCAGGCAGTTCCCAGTCAGGCCTTTTGTGCAAGCAGAGGGAGGAGCCAGTGGAGACGGGTGGAGAGGGTGCAGAGTGTTTCTAAAAGTGAAGGCCACTGGGCAGGTAGGTCTGCCCTATGCATGCAGTGGATTTGCAAGAATTTCCAGGGTCAAAGAAGGGGGGACCAGAGGGCTTCCCCCAGTGGCTAGTACATCTGACTTGGAGGCTTTAAGGACTGTGGGAGAAAAACCAGAAGAACCCACCAGATGGCTGACACCCTCCTTCGTTTGTGATACTCTCACAACCACAGGCCGTGATCCCAGGCCACGGGTCCAGGGTCTCTCTCCCAAGCTCTCGGAGCATCTGCAGAGAAGAAGCTTGCCCAGCCTGGAGTGGGCATGAGCCCCCATGAGCCCAGGAGGGGTGGTTTCATTCAGTTAGAGATGCCTGGTAGACCAGTCCTGTAGAACTGCGCCTTCCAATATAAATTTAAACAGCCAGTAGTGGCCTGTGGCATCCTTACTAAACAGCATGGTTCTAGAAAATTCCACCTGGGCCAAAGGAGACATGCGAGAGGAATATGGATTTCCTGTGAACCTGAAACCTCAGCTGGGCCTGGCAGTAATGACTTCTTGTTCTCACTGTTGCAGGCAACAGACAATGATGCGGGCACCTTTGGGGAAGTCAACTATTTCTTCAGTGATGACCCAGACAGGTGAGACTCTGCCCACAGTCCCTCAGGGCCCTCTGCAGTGGTCCTTGGCCCTCCCCAGGCTCATGAGATCTGGGAACTTTTCAGTGCCCAGGGAGGGAGGTGCTGGGCCCTGTGGCTACAGCACTGGACTGGAAGTTGGAGCCCATGGGCACTGTGGCTGGTTTGACCCTGATCGTGGCACAGCCTTGGTCAAGTCTCCTCAACTCTCTGAGGCACAGCTTATCTGACCCTCAAAAGATAGCCTTTAGCTTTGGGAATGGATCCATTGTGTCTCTGAGAGGCTTTGAAGTACTAGCGACTGCATACCACCACCACCACCACCACCACCACCACCGCCGCCGCCAGCCGCAGCAATTACGTGTCAGGCTCATCATGGCCAAGGGCTTCACACGCATTGTCTCATGTCATCCTCTCAGTGAAATGACAGAGGAATTCAGTCCTAGGCACTTTTATCATCCCCACTTTACAGGTGAGGAAAGTGTAACACAGAGAAGCTAAGTCACTTGTCCAAAGTCACACAGCTATAAGTGCCATGGTCAGACTTCTGCACGTGACCTTCACCACTAGGTTACACAGCCTGCCCCAGGAGGGCTGTCAATGTGCAACAGCCCATAGGCGGGTTACTCGCCTCCCTGCCTGACACATGCCAGCCTTGCCCCATCATTCCTCATGGTAACTTGGTCTAGGCTTGGTTTTGGGCCTTGTCTTCAATTAGTCCAAGCCAAAGGGCAGCCTTCTCACTTTTTTTTTTTTTTTGGAAACAGAGTCTCGCTCTGTTGCCCAGACTGGAGTTTTATGGCAAGATCTTGGCTCATTGCAACCTCCACCTCCTAGGTTCAAGCAATTCTCCTGCCTCAGCCTCCTGAGTAGTTGGGATTACAGGCACCCACCACCACACCCAGCTAATTTTTGTATTTTTAGTAGAGATGGGATTTCACCATGTTGGACAGGCTGGTCTCGAACTCCTGACCTCAGGTGATCCACCCACCTCGGCCTCCCAAGTGCTGGGATTACAGGCATGAGCCACTGCGCCCAGCCGCCTCTCACCTTTAACATGCTCAAAGGCCACGTGTCTGATGCACTGGGAAGCCCAGTGGAATGAGTGAGGCGGTGGGTGTCAACTTGAATGACTGACCCCGACTATCTGTGAGAAAGATCAAGAAAAGATGGGGAAAGAGCTAGATGCAGTGGCTCATACCTGTAATCCCAGCAGTTTGGGAGGCCGAGGCGGGTGGATTACCTGAGGTCAGGAGTTCAAGACCAGCCTGGCCAACATGATGAAACCCTGTCTCTACTAAAAATACAAAAATTAGCCAGGCGTGGTGGCAGGTGCCTGTAGTCCCAGCTACTTGGGAGGCTGAGGCAGGAGACTGGTTTGAACCTAGGAGGCAGAGGTTGCAATGAGCTGAGATTACGCCACTGCACTCCAGCCTGGGCGACAGAGTGAAACCCTGTCTCAAAAAAGAAGAAGAGACAAGGAGATTGTTAGGGGCATCTGGCCATTCTCTGTCACTCAGTGATGGGGGCCTCAAATGGGAGGAAGGCACCAACATGGCTGAATGCACAGGGAACCCTTTCCCCAGGGGACCCGTGTTCATGTAGCCTTATCTTGGTCATCTTGGATGGTCTCACCTCTTCCCGTCTTCTGGGCCTGAGACTTTCCTCACTCCGAGCCAGAACCTTCCAGGCTTGGTGGTTGGCAGCTGTGGTCAGAGTACACAGATGTCAACTGACGTCTCAGATGAGGCTCCTGAGAGGACATTTAGAGGATGCAGTTGGAGGGGTTGTCTTGCCATACCTTTCTACTACCCAGGAGATGTCTACCAACCTCCCGCTCAAGGCTCATCTCCTCAAAGTCAAGGGGCAGCTCCCAAAAGAGGACCAACCACCCTGCCCTTCACCAGCTGCTTTCTGCCCATTCCTAGCATGCTGGTGCATCTAAATTTCTGCAATAGGTAGGAACTCCTGTTCACAGCAGGAGGGTTGTTCTGCCTGGTTTCCTCTTTGCTTAAATCAGGCGACGACTCCTGCCCACCTCGTGTGATCCTGATCCCTGCCCCCACCCACCGCCTTTAGAAATAGCAGCTCTTCTCAGGGCAAGTGAAAGAGAAGGCAGATTTCAGACTTCATTTATTTCTGTTTGTCACTCTGGGCAAGGACAGGCTGGGAAATGCCGGCCCCATCAAGCCTGTTTTAAACCACGGTGTTCCTTCCCTCCATCCTCCCGGCCTGGCACAGGTTCTCGCTGGACAAGGACACGGGACTCATCATGCTGATTGCCAGGCTGGACTATGAGCTCATCCAGCGCTTTACCCTGACGATCATTGCCCGGGATGGGGGCGGTGAGGAGACCACAGGCCGGGTCAGGATCAATGTGTTGGATGTCAACGACAACGTGCCCACCTTCCAGAAAGATGCTTATGTGGGTGCTCTGCGGGAGAACGAGCCTTCTGTCACACAGCTGGTGCGGCTCCGGGTAAGGTGCCAGGGAGCCCTGCACTCCTGCCATTCATCTTACCCTTCCCCCTGTACTTGCTTGCTTGCTTCTTTTTTGTTTTTTGTTTTTTTGAGACAGTCTCACTCTTTCACCCAGGCTGGAGTGCAGTGGTACAATCAGAGTTCATTGCAGCCCCAAACTCGTGGGCTCAAGCAATCCTCCTGTCTCTGCCTCCTTAGCAGCTGGGACTACAGGCTTGAGCCACCGTGCCTAGCCTGTGCTTTCTTCTTGACCAACCCCTCGGGAAGCCACTGCAAGAGGGGCTGACCTCCCATCCACAAAGAATGCTGCAGATTTGAGAGTCAAATTCTTGGTCTGTGTTGGGCCTTCTCTGAGCAACACCTCATGTCCTTGGTACCAAGTGGGGCTTTATATGTCTCAGCTTAAATATTAGATCAGAATTAGCAAAAGATCCCCCTCTGCACCCATCCGCCGCCATCTCCCTTAGCAAGGGCATTGAGTGGGGAGGACTTCCTTGTGTCAGGACCCCCTTCAAACCTTTTAATGACTGACTAGAATCAGGAAGTGCTACAGCTGGAAGGAGCTACAGAAACCATGGAGTGCAACCCCATTTTACAGAAGGAGAACCCGGAGGGGAGACGCTTGCCCACGAAGACATAGTTAGTAGAGTATCAAAAATCAGAGCCAGGTCTAGTCCTGGAATGCTATTCTCCAAGTGCTTCCTGCAACAAGTCCCCACTAGGCATCAGTGACCTTTAACCAGAGACTTTTAAATGTCCCCCCTTCCCATGCTGCCTACCCAAAGGGATGGGACCCAGAACCTCCATTTGGAACTTGTTTTCGAAGCAGGCAGGGATGAAGGCAAGCCTGGAAGGGTGGGCACAGGGGATACCTAGAAGAACAGACCATGTGCCCGCCCAGCTTGTCCATGGCCCCCCATACAACCCTGTCCTGCCGTGCCCTCCCTGCTCAGCTCCAGGTATACCCCGAGTGATGGGGAGCACTGGAGGCTCTAGAGTGAGGGATGACCTGGAAAGAAGCTCATTAATTCAGTGCCCAGAGAAGACAGCCAAGGGGAAGAGGGATCCCTGGCCCTACTCCAGGTGCCTTCCTTTCTCCTTGCTTTCATGCAATATGCGTGGATTAGACACCCACTGTGGCCAAACACTGGGTTGGCCTGTAGGTATGCAGCAGCAATCAAGAAACAAGGTTCCTGCTCACATGAAACTGATAGTCTAAGCAAGGGAGGCAGAAATTAGATAAGAAATTACCACTCGGCGTAAGGGGACCAGTGGGGTAAGGGGACCCAAGGCCCCTAACCGGGTCCGGGAGTCAGGGAGGGCGTCTGCAGGTGGGGGTGTTCCAGCTGGGGTTGGGGGTGGGAGGTAATTGTGTCTCAGCCTCTGGGAAGGCCAGGCCTCCACATTCTTCCTGGGCATCCTACCTGCCCTCTAGGTTCCCCAGGCTGCCTCCACACGCAGCACATGGAGGGGAGCAGGGAGTCTGCTGGAAGCCAGAGTGCGGCCTCTAGTTGAAGCACAAGGGGTGCCTCCCAGGGTCCTGGGCCAGGACAAGACCCAGGGCTGGATCACCCAATAAAGGAGCTGTCAGCAGGGCCAGCCTTCCCCTCCCTCCCAGCTGCCCGCCCTCTTCTGGTCCTCAGCCTCCTGCAGGCTCACGGCTCTTGTCTGCCCTCTTCCTTCCAGGCAACAGATGAAGATTCCCCTCCCAACAACCAGATCACCTACAGCATTGTCAGTGCATCTGCCTTTGGCAGCTACTTCGACATCAGCCTGTACGAGGGCTATGGAGGTAGGTGTGGGGCAGAACTCGGGGCCCAGCCAGGAGGAGGGCTGGGGGGCTCTCTGTACTCATACCTCCCTTGTGCGGGTGGGGCGGGCACCCCGTGTCTCCCTGACACCCTGGGCTACTCAGGAAGCTGCCCTGAGCACCTGGGGCTGGAGCGGGATGTGGCCTGAGTCGCCGTTCCGTAGGGTCAACGTCTGTGTCTCTCATCAGCGGGATCTCTCTCTGGTTCTCAGGCCATGGCCAGCCCTGCAATCGAGCCAGAAGTGTGATGGTAACAGAATCTCTGGGGCTCTCTGTTTCTTACCAAGGCTACGGGCAGGTCCGTGGGATGGAAGCTCGTTAGCCAAGGCTCCCTACCCTTTGGGCGGCCCTGTGTGGGTCCCCATCCCTGGAGCCCTGGCAGGAAATAGCAGCAGCAACCTCAAACTCCAAGATCCCAAGAGAGACTACTTTGTTTTTCAGACAAGGCAGCTAAGACCCAGAGACGGAGCAACTTGCCTGAGCTCACCCAGCAAAGCTGCTGAGCTTGGCACAAAGTCCCTGTGTGGTCTGGCCCTTGGTTGCCTTGCGAGCCTCAACTCTCAGCAGCCCTTGCCCCACCAGAGTCCAGCCTCTTCTGACACTTTGACACTTGTCTCCCCTTACAGGTGTTCACTCCCATGTCTTTGCGAAGTGTGTTCCTTTTGCCAGGAAAGCGCTGCCTCCTTGCCCCTTGGTCCCGCCTCCCTTTGGCTTTCCAGTGTGTAGCCCCTGGCTAGCTTTAAGGGCTCATTTAACACTTCCTCCTCTGGGAAGCTTCTCTGATTCCTGGAGCCAGGGTTAGGTGCCCCCAGGGCAGAAGGGATCAATGTGCATTGAATGACTCTAGGTCCAGTGCTCACTCCTTCCACTGCCCCACAGTTTGTTCAGAGAAGTGCCATTGTAGAAATTGCAGTTCTGACCAGAGAGGTGGCTCAGGCCTGTAATCCCAGCAGTTTGGGAGGCTGAGGCCAGTAGATCAATTGAGGTCAGGAGTTCGAGACCAGACTGGCCAACATGGCAAAACCCTGTCTCTACTAAAAATACAAAACGGCCAGGCGTGGTGGTGTGCACCTGTAATCCCAGCTACTTGGGAGGCTGAGGCAGGAGAATCACTTGAGCCTGGGAGGCAGAGGTTGCAGTGAGCCCAGGTCGCGCCACTGCACTCCAGTCTGGTGACAGAGCGAGACTCCGTCTCAAAAAAAAAAGAAAACAAATTGCATTCTTTATGAAATCTACATCCATCTTTCTTTCTTTCTTTCTTTCTTTCTTTCTTTCTTTCTTTCTTTCTTTCTTTCTTTTCTTTCTTTCTTTCTTTCTTTCTTTTCTTTCTTCTCTTTCTTTCTCTTTCTTTTTTTTTTTTTTTGACAGCATTTTACGCTGTCACCCAGGCTGGAGTGCAGTGGCTCTATCTCGGCTCATTGCAACCTCCACCTCTGCCTCCTGGGCTCGTATGATTCTCCTGCCTCAGCCTCCCAAGTAGCTGGGATTATAGGCGTGCCACCACACCCAGCTAATTTTTGTATTTTTAGTAGAGATGGGATTTTGCTAATGCTGGCCAGGCTGGTCTTGAACTCCTGACCTCAAGCCATCTGGCCGCCTCGGCCTCCCAAAGTGCTGGAATTACAGGTGTGAGCCACCGTGCCCGGCCCATCCCTCTTTCAAAAACTTAAAAGTTCCATGCTTCTGCCTGCCTCCATACCTCATCCTCCTCTCAAGTAGAAGAATCCCCCTTAGATTTTATATTACTAAAGCAATAATCTTGTTTCCCTTTTCCAAATAGAAAGGTGTAATTTAATATTGTTGTAATGCCTTCTAAGACCTCCCATGCCCCCTACTCCCAAGCCAATATGCCTTCCCTCCCCAGTTGAGAATCAATGGCTTAGCATAAACAAGTACTAATGGAGAGACTTCAGGCATGTGCAGTGGTGGGGATATTTCAGGGCAGAGGCATCTATCTTAGCTCCCTGCAAATCCTGCCTCTCAGCCTGGGTCTGCCTTTGGCGTTAGGGTTCTTCACCCACGTCTAAACAGAGTTCTGTTGAAGGTAAGGTCTGCAGCACCTAACCCTGAGTACCTCCCCATGGGGTCTAAACAGTGCCCAGAGTAGGTGACTGGATGGGCATGAAGAGCCCATAGCATAAAGTGAGGAGGAAATGGAGGGAAGAGAAGAGAGAGAGACGCCAGGGGCAGTTGGCTCACGCCTGTAATCGTAATACTTGGGGAGGCCGAGGCGGGAGGATTGCTTGAAGCAGAAGTTCGAGACCAGCCTAGGCAACACAACCAGCTCTGCTTCTGCAAAGAAAACTTTTTAAATAAAAGTAAATAAAGGAGAAGGGAGGGAAGAAGATTAGAGAAATAGGGCTAGAGGAGACCGAGGAGGATCCTGCCTTCTGCACCCCACTGCCTGGTCCTCCCTGGCATCTCCAATGCTGGGCAACAACTGGGGAACTCTGTGCTTACCTGGAGAGAGGAGTAGTGACAGGGAGGGCTACAGGGCCCGAGGCATGACCCTGTCCTCCGAGCAGCTTCCAGACTGATGGGGGGAAATCCATAAAGTGCCGGATGAGTAAGTGAGACAGACAGACAGACAAGCAGGCAGGAGTGCCTACTAAGAAAGAGCCTGGGTTCTGGAGCTCATCTCCCCACTCTACTAAGTTGAGAGCTGTGTGACCTTGGGCAAGTTACTGAACATCTCTGAGCTTGGTTTCTTCATCTGTAAAAGTGGGGCTTACATTACCACCAAACCGGCTGTCACCTCATGGGCTCCGCACAGGGTCCGACACACTTCAGGCAGTCAGGAAACCTCAGTCGAGATGGCGACGCTCCAGGTGTTCAGAAAACAAGCCAGAGCTGGCCCGGGCCATGGCAGCCATACCTTCTTTGCCCAAAGGGGACCCCTGGCTGGACGGGCATCTCAAGTCTGCTTACAGAGGGATCTGGCCTGTTCCTGTCGTTTCAGTGATCAGCGTCAGTCGCCCCCTGGATTATGAACAGATATCCAATGGGCTGATTTATCTGATAGTCATGGCCAAGGATGCTGGAAACCCCCCTCTCAACAGCACCGTCCCTGTCACCATCGAGGTATTTGTAAGTACCCAGGGCCACTGGCCTTGCCCTTCCAGGAGCTAGGAGTCAGGTGAGGAGGAAACGTTGTGGGCTTCCTTCATTTATGGCTGCGTTCTGTGAAGAACGGGAGAGTTACTGGAAGGTCATCTTCTCCCTTCGCTCTCTCTCCCTATCCCGCTCTTTTTTTCTTCCTTTTCCACTCCTCTGAAGATCTAAAGGGGTCTGAAACCAAGCCAGTTTGTCTGACATGAATATCAGGCACACCTTAGTGCTTTCTGTGTCTGAAATTATCAGTTGCTGAATCCATCTCCACGCTGGTTCATTTGCCCCATGCCACACCGGGATGCAGAGTATGGTATGACAGGGGGACCAATGGGCCCCTCCGCATGGAGACCTCCCGGCACACACCTGTGCACGCACTGCCTGCCCCCCTCCCCATCTGTGGGAGATAGCGAATGCGTGTTGATGGAAGAGTTAGTGCATTATCGGCTCCGGGAGGATTAGATCAGATTGTCAGGTTCGGAGATGCGCTGTGATTTGACATAAGCTCAGGAAAATCTGCCCCTGGAGCAGGCATGCTGGAGAGCCTTCCTGTCACAGCCAGCTTTACCAGCAGCCTCTGCCACTGCCCCACACCGGGCCTTAACAAGCTCTTTCTTCTCAACCTGAGGCTAAAGCTTCAGGGCCAGCTCCCAAGTGGAAAGGCCCTTGTCTGGGCCGGGAACCCTATTTGCTTGCTGAATAGGATGGAGCTTGAATGATGGGAAAGTCAATGTGATGTCTGACGGGGGAGCCTTCCAGATGGCCACGTGGGAGCAGAATTTAGGGGCGGCCAGGAGAGTGAGGCTCTGCAGAACCAGGATAGCAAAGGGAAGGGCAGAGAGTTGGGGCCCTGCTTCTGGAGTCCTTATGCCGGGCACCTCAGGCTTCAGGGAGTGTCAGGGGAAGGAGGACAGGGACCAGGAGATCTTCAGAAGCCTTAAAACTGGCCTGGGCCAGGCACAGTGGCTCATGCCTGTAATCCCAGTACTTTGGGAGGCCAAGGTGGTCACAAGGTCAGGAGTTCGAGACTAGCCTGGTCAACATGGTGAAACTGCGTCTCTACTAAAAATACAAAAATTAGACGGGTGTGGTGGCGGGTGCCTGTCATCCCAGTTACTCAGGAGGCTGAGGCAGGAGAATCATTTGAACGCTGGAGGCAGAGGTTGCAGTGAGCCGAGATTGCACTATTGCACTCCAGCCTGGGCAACAAGAGCAAAACCCCATCTCAAGAAAGAAAAAAAAAAAACCACCTGGCTCAAACCTGTAACCTCCCACCTAGAAACACCGAGGGTAGGGAACAAGAATGCATCCCCTGGCAGTCATGACCCTGGGCTGGCACTCTTTACCCCATGGCCCGGCCCGGACCACATCACCCAAACCTGGCCTTAGTTTCCCAGACTTGACCACAGCCCCCAAGCCTCCTCTAATCCTAGCTACACTCACAACCCTGACCAACCCACCCGTCGCTTTCAACCAGCCAGGATGCTGCTCTGCACAAGGAGGCAGTGAATTCTGAATTCTGTGCTGGGCCCCCAGTAGGACAAGAAGGTGAATGTGTATCCTGCTCCACTCCCCAAGAAGACACCAAGTGGAAAGAGGGGTGTGGCTGTGGAGGCATATGGGTCTGAAACCTGGCTCTGCTACCCTCTTGCTGTGTGACCTGGGTCTCTGAAACAACATCCTCATCTGCAAAATGGGGATAATCATGGTACCTGCCTCATGATATTTTTGTGAGGATGAAATGAGATTGTGCAGGTGGCACCTGGCACCTGGAATGTTGGCTGTCATTACAGCCAATAAGACAAGCCATGCATAACAGCAGCCACACCCGTGCCCCAGCCTGTCGCTAGTGCAAATGGGAGTTCCCGTGAGTGGGCTGAGGCAGAGAGGTAGCCGTTCAGGTTTTGGGGAGTGGATGCTGGAGAGGGTAAGAGTAAGGGAGGTCTAGGGAAATAAGTTAAGTGTTCTGGCTAGCCCTGGGCTGGACAGACCTAAATAGCCAAATGGAAATTAAACTGTGCTGAGCTCCAGCAATGTGCCAGGTCCTTTCACATGACCCAGTCCCTTTCAGTCCCACTTTACAGATGGGGAGGCTGAGGCTCCAGGAGGACCCAGGGTCACCAGTGCCTTTCTTCACCTTTCTTCCTTACTGGCAGAGCTGGGACTTGAACCCTGACCTGAATGACTCCCATGTTGATATTCTTTCCACCACAGCCACAGGCCTGGAACCTTGGTCATCCCTATCCACATATGACTGAGACCAGAGCTTCTCAAAGTTCCCTGGGCCCTGGAATTCCCTGGGGATTTCATTAAAAGGCTGATTCCTATTTAGTGGGTCTGAGGCAGGGCTAGGATTCTGTGTGTCCTCCCAGCTCCCAGGTGACGTGGATGCTTCTGGCCAGGGGACCACACTTTGGGGAGCAAGGCCTTCAGAGACCCACCCGCATGAGATTTTGAAACCCGAGCTCTGCCCCAAACCCCAGACCTGTCCCAACCTGTAGCTCAGCTAAGGCAGGGACCAGAGCATCTCGTTGTGCCTCAGCCCCCCTCAAAGGGACCAGAGCACGCAGAGAGAGGAAGGCGAAGGGACTGAACTCCCTTTTTGCCCCTGCAAACAAAAGTGTGATCTGCAGCCTCCCTCCCTGAGACCACAGAGGAGGTGGGTGGGGGTAAGAATCCGCCTCACTTTGCACTTGGCAAGCCAGGGTGTGCCCTGGCATGAAACCACAGTGGCCTAGTAGAAGGGACCCCATTTTCAAATTCCCTCAAAGGCATCCCAGGGACCAGCAGGGGCCCTGCACTTCCCTTTGGAGTCCACCGTAACCCTGGGGCAGCCGGAGAGTCTGGCAACAAAGACAGGTGCCACCTTGCTGTGAGTGAACATTGTCTCTCAAGCAGGGCCTCTGGATGGCACAGTCACTTGTGTCTGAGGACCACACTTGAAAAGGTCACCGCCTTCAGGCTGATTTTGCACGTGGCTGGTTTTTAAGTAGCTGTCACTCGGCTAAGCGGCCTCCTCCCTCCACAAAAAGGATTTTCTCCCAATTGGAATTAAAAAACCCAGCAGCAATGAAGTCGTGGATGGCAGCATTTCCTGCACAGGTTGGGGTGAGGGAGAGGCAGATGGAGACCACGGGGCTCCAGGAGGAGGAGGGGCCGGAGGGGCCAGGTGATTCTTTTTCATCCACTGCTTGTTGGTTTTTAATAAAGAAGTCAAACTCGGTTTGTAGATTTCCCATTAGGGGACAATAAGCTTTTGTAGAGCGAGCCGCTGAATTAGAACTAATAGCAAATGCAGCGCCAAGATCCAGGGAAATATCACCGCTAATAAGTTTCTGCCTCATGCTCTGTCACTGACATTCTCCGCACCGTTTCGTGCAGCCAGGCAGAAGCTTAAATGTAGAAGTATATGGGGCACTCGCACCCGCACCAGGGACGGGGAAGATGCCCAGGCATGCAGCTGGGGCATTGGACATCAGGGGAATCCTGAGACTACTGGGTATCTGGGGAGAGGGGCAGGTCAGCGTGAGCCAGGGTGCCATCCAGAGCCAAGGGGCAGATTGGAGAAAGAGAGGATCACTCCTTTCTGAGCACCCATAATCTTAGCAGGCTGAGATTCTCAGATGTCCCAAGGGGTGTGCAGCCAGATTGCATGCCCCTATCTTTCATGGCTGCTCCGTCAACAGGGACTCCAGCAAAGGGGGCTTCGTACAGGATCCTTTCCCTCTAAGAGCTCTCAGTTCCACGAGAAGCCAGGCCCTGTCATGGAACTCCTATTTGCACTAGCAAACAAACAGGAACTGCCGAAGACTGTAGCATAAAGACTGCCCAGCAGTGCCGGGGCTCAGCCTGACTCCTGAGCTCTGCACTGGACTCTTGGGAAAGGGGAGAAGGTCATGAGTCAAGTGGGCTGGGGAGGCTTCCTCCAAGAAGGAAGCAGGGAGGAATTCTTGTTGGGGGATTGCAATTCTTGTCCAGTGAGGATAAGAGTATTAAAGGGCAGGAAAGCCTCTTCTCATTGAAGAGGAAGGGCCGCGGTGTGGAGGAGTTGGAGGATGCGTAGGAGGAGGCAGAAGCTGCCCACCCCACCCTGCCAGGCTCAGCCCCTCAGCCAAACACCATCCTCTGGCCACTGGCGAAGTCTGGGCTAGAAGAGCTATTGCTTTAGAACTGACAGGGCTGTGGCTCTGGGCCAGGGGTGGCCCAGGGGCTGGAAGAGCCATTGTTCTTGTGTGCAAGGAGGAGTCTAGCTGTACCTGCCAGCAGCCAGCCCAGGGCCAGAGTTTGGGCTCTGGGAACCCCCTGACCCTGACCTGCCCCCGCATACTTCGGTATCTTTGGGGAGAGTCCTAGAAGCTTTTGTCATCATCCTGGTGGACCTACACAGGGGTCCAAGTGGGCATTCTCAGCATGGGAGCTGGGGTGTGAGTGCTGGAGTGAGCTTGGGGCTCAGCTGGAGGACCAGCGGGGAGGCTGGGGACCTGGCAGCTATTGGCAGTCCCAGCTGCTGCCGGCACACTCCCTCTCCCTGGGCCTCCCCATCCCTTCCTGAGGCCTGCATGTTTCCCCAGGGCTGGTCCTACCTCCTGGAACCGTAGCCTGCCAGAGGGTTACCTGACTGCCTGTGGCACCTCACTTGGCTCTGGTTATATGGAGAGGCCAGAGCTCTTTAGTGCCAGCCTGGCCTAGCCTAACTCCTTGGTGCCTACCTTAGACATCCGGCCAGCCACCTGCCTCCCTGGCTCCTGCAACCTGTCTGTTTTCCTTCCAGGATGAGAATGACAACCCTCCCACCTTCAGCAAGCCCGCCTACTTCGTCTCCGTGGTGGAGAACATCATGGCAGGTACAGGCTTAGGTCGGGGGGTGGGGGGCACATGAAGGTAGGCAGCCAGCAGTCACGGCACCCAGGATGTGCAGACCCCGGCTCTGCACACAAATTCTGAGAGGTCCATGGCCTTCTCTTTCCCCAGCCAAGCTCCTTGACAAATCGGGGAGCCTTTGGAGACATCTAGTTACCTGCAAGCTAACAGCTAGTTACAGAGCACCTACTATGTGCAGGTGCTGTGCTGGGCACTTGGTTCCTGCTCTCCTTTAACGATAGTCTAGTGGAGAAAGAATCATGATCCATGATTAATTAAGCAATCTTGATTAAACAGTCCCAAGTGTGCAGAGGGCTCTGAGACTACAGCACTGAGAGGCAGGTCCCAGGGGCCATGATTTCAGAGAAGTGGCCTTACAGCATGGCATGTGTTCCTATGTGAGGATGCGATTGACAGGCTAATCTCTGGGCCAGGCTCAGGTTGCAGGACTCAGCTTGCAGACCCAGCACCACCAGCTCTACACTCAGGTTCCAAGGGATCTGTTCTGCCCTCAGGGCAGGCTGGCAGCTTTGCCCTTACCCTCAGAGCAAATGATCCCAGCAAGGAAAACACCCATGTCAGGAACTGCTGCAGTGGCTGAAGGAGATGGGAAGGTTGGAGTCAAGGACAATAGAGTCAGAGATGCTGGAGTCATGGATGGTGGAGTCAGGGACACTGGAGTTAGAGACACTGGAGTCAGGGATGGTAGAACCAGGGATGGTGGAGTCAGGGATGGTGGAGCCAGGGGTGGTGGAGCCAGGGATGGTGGAGCCAGGGGTGGTGGAGCCAGGGATGGTGGAGTCAAGAGTGGTGGTGTCATGGGTGGTGGAGTCAGGGACAGTGGAGTTAGAGACGCTGGAGTCAGGGATGGTAGAGTCAGGGGATGGTGGAGTCAGGGAATGGTGGAGTCAACGGTGGTGGAGCCAGGAGTGGTGGAGTCAGGGATGGTGGAGTCAGGGATGGTAGGGTCAGGGATGGTGGAGTCAGGGGTGGTGGAGTCAGGGGATGGTGGAGCCAGGGATGGTGGAGCCTGTGGTCGTGGAGCCAGTGATGGTGAAGTCAGGGTTGGTGGAGTCAGGGATGGTAGAGCCAGGGATGGTGGAGTCAGAACTAGTCTTCCCTGACACCATAAGCCCTTCTAAAGAAAACCTCTCTGGGTACCACTCTGGCAGCTGACAATGAGCTGGGTGGGTGCTGGGCTGTACCCAGCCTACCCTTCCTGTCCTAGTCAGGCATCACCTGGAGAATGTCACTGCTAAAGAGCCACCCCCAGCACTCCCCGCCATCCCTGGGGACTCTGTCAAGGAGAGGCCTTCACTATGGCACTTAATTGTCTTCAGAGGTATGTTAGGGCTCATGTGCCTGTCCTCCTGCTCAAGGCAGACCTGAGGGTCATATTTGAGGACCCAGGACCACAGGGCCACAATGACCTGCCTGGCCCCTTGCCTCTCGGGACTGCTGATTCATCTGCTGGATGGTCACCACCAGCCCTGCAGCCCAGTGGAACTCCCTGTGGGGCTCAGCCTGTGGCCTCCATGCTTTATCCCTCAGGATCCCAGCAGCAAACCCACAAGTTAGATGGTGTCTTTAGACCCGGTCCCAGGGGAGGAAATGATGCGCAGGCAGGTAAAGGCGCCTGCAGAGGCCCTGCGGGTTCCAGTCTGGGTGTGAAGATTCCAGGAGCCTGTGTACCAGACCTCCTTGCCACTTGGCCAGAGCTGGTAGTTGGGTGGCGGGAGGGGCTGGAGCCAGCAGCCTTGGTGGGCACAGCTGCAGGACAAGCTGCTCTCAGGGTCTGGACAGAGTGGCTGGAAAAGCTGATCCCTTGAGTCAGGATTTCATGGAACTGGAAATAAAGGTGAAGGCCTTAACTGAACCTTAAGGAGAAAATAAAAACCCTTATAAATTCCCCTGTGAATGAGATAAAACTAGAATAAAATTGAATATAGTAAGTATAGAATAATTTAATATGGAGCTTCCTGTCTTTTGACTCCAAGTAAAAGCTGGCCAATCTGAGTGTATTTAATATGGTGTCCAGCCAGGCAGGGGCTGGGGAGACAGGAAGACACCAGAGGGCCCAGTCCATCCCTAAGCATCTCATGGAGCCTCATCCCCACCCAGCCCAGCGATCTGGGCTCCAACAACGGTGACTGAGCCGCCCTCATCCCTGGGGTGTCCCAACAGGCAGGCCTCCCACCTCCCTGAGAGCTGGTCACTGGGAGGGCCCCATGTCCTCCTCTTGGGCCAGCACAAATGCTGCTCCCAGGGCTGGGGCCATGAGCTCAGGGGCCCAGGGTGAGCAGCACCCCCTGCCCCCACCTTTTTCCCCCTGAAGGAGCCACGGTGCTGTTCCTAAATGCCACAGACCTGGACCGCTCTCGGGAGTACGGCCAGGAGTCCATCATCTACTCCTTGGAAGGCTCCGCCCAGTTTCGGATCAACGCCCGCTCAGGTGAGCCCCCGACCCCAAGCACCTTGGTCCTCCACACCCTGAGGCTGACTGTCCATACCCGGCCCCAGAACCAGCCTCTGGGTCCGGGTCTCCTTCCTTTCAGTTTTGAGCAGGCCAACTTTGAGCACCAGTGTAATCCCTGAAATATTAATTTGAGTGTGATTACTGATCTTACCCAAAAAAATCACAACGTGAATTGATCCAGGGAAGGATGTCTTTCAAGGGTGAAGAGTTGTATTATGTTTTAAATGTGTTCCATCTTACAAACAGCTGGTTAACACATCCTTTTTCAGGAACACCTTTATTAAAGCCTCAGTGGCCCCCCTCCCTCAGCTCCTGACCTCATTCTTAAAGCCTGGCTCCTCTTCTTAGACAGATGTGTGCCTCAGTTTCCCCCGCTGTAAGATGAGGAAGATAAGGTTAGGGCTGCTGTGTGGATTAAATGATGTATAACAGGGAACACACTTTGAATAGTCCCTGGCATACAATAAGTGCTAAAAATATTACTATCATTATTCTCTTTTATTTATTCACCTGTGAGCCCCCTGCCCCAAGCTCCCATCCCCTGACTCCACCATCCCCTGGATGTAACTCTCTTCTTTCTTCTTCATCTCTCCATGTGCATTCCTCCGTTTTCTCTCTTCCTTGAAGCTGGGAGAAAACGTGGGCAGAAAGAAGCAGCAAGAGACCCAAGCTTTTCAGCCAGGCCTGGGAAAGAATTGGGGACCTCTGTACATTCGTTCATATGTTCATTCAGAAATTGGGGTGGGGGCTGCTCTGAGCCAGGTGCTGTGCCAGGTGCTGGGGTACAGGAAGGAATAAGACATGGCCCTGACCTCATGACGTTCCCAGTCAGCTCAGTGAGCATGCAAGGCACCCCACTTCCAATACCTATTTCTGTATGAGTTGAAGGAACTGTTGATGCTAAACAGCTACACCTTATCTCAGTGGCTTGAGACAATAGAAATTCTAATTCATATAGTCAACCCAGGCAGATGTTGAGTGACAGCCTTCCACATGATGATTCTGGGGCCCAGGCCCCTTCCATGTTGTGGCTCCAAGGTCACTGCTGAAGGGAAAAGAGAGCATGGGTTATCGGACTAGGAGGAGGTTATGGGCCAGGCCCTGCCTGGCAGTCACATCCAAGTAATAATTATCCCCTGGAAAGGAAGCAGGGATCTTTGATGGACACTGGCCATCCCTGCTGCAGGTGGTCAGTGACCCAGCAGGGCATTAGCTCTTCCTGCTATCCATCCCTCCGCGGTGGAAGTCAGCCTTCAATCCCTTTTTTGTACCCTTTTCCTGGAGGCTTGGGGAGCAGATGGCCAGTTCTGATGGGTACAAAGACTGAGGAAGGGGACCCAGGGGCACTATGAACCTGTTTTTCTATCTCTGAGAAAGTGAAGGCCTTCCTCTCTGCTCTCAGGAGTGTCCCCCACAGTGAGCCCTCATTCCCAGGGGTCTCAGAGTAATGTCATGAATGAGTATGAACCACATGCCCAGCACTGTTCCCAGGGCTCTGAGCAGCAGCATCTCATTCTGCCCTCCTCACCTGTGAGGCAGGTACTAGCCTTCCCCATTTTCCAGATGAGGAAGCTGAGCCACTGGGGAGGTTAAGTAACCTGACTGAGGACTCACAGAGCATGAACTTTTGATCCGGAATCCAAACATTAAAGTTTCCATTATATGAGTAGCTCCCTGACCTTTCAGCCACCCCTGCCCTTGCCTCCCCATTCAGGGCTCCAGCTCCACCTGGGGCCTTTAATGACACAGACTTTTTCTTGCTGCCTTAACAAGACTTTGGCTCCAAAGGTGTAAGCATTTTCCTCTGAGCTCCTTGGTCAAATTAGCCAGGCCTGCTCCACAGAGGTGGCCTTAATTGGATCTAATTTCCCAGACAGGAGAGGCCATCTATCATGCCGACAAGTTCATGTTTAAAACTTTTTAGATTAATTTCTTCCTCGCCCTGCCAATTAATCGACACCACCCTGGCAGAGAATGTGGCTTGTTTGGCAGACCTTTGTGAGTCTTCCATTCCTGGCCTTAGCACCTAAGCTGCCCTGTCACCCACTCCCAGCTCCCCGCTCAGCCCTGCACGGACCAGAGGGCAAGCCAGCATGCCACGGAGGGAACTGTCAGGGTAGAAGCAGTCCTAAAGGCAATCTGGCCCAGCTGCCTTGTTTCATGGTGGAAAGAACCAAGCACAGAGAAGTTAAGCGACTTGCCCCAGGTCACACAGCTCAGGCAATGGGGATAAAAAGATGGATAGCACACAGGCCCTGCCCGTGGGGAAAGCTCACAGTCCATTGGAAGGAAACAGTCATTTTCTGAGTGTTGGGAGCCTCCCCTAGAATTACTTTAACCTCACAACAGCTCTGCGTGGAAGTCACACTAATCTCCATTTTATAGATGAGAAAACTGAAGCTTCAAAAATTTAAAATTTTCCAAGGCCAAGCATCTGGGAAGGTCCATAATCAGAATTCAAATCCACGTCTCACATCCTACCACGTGGGCGCTCTCCCATGGCTGATGCAAGCTGGTGAATGGCCTGGCTGCAGTGACTGCTGAAGTCTACTGGGACTGGCTCACCCTGCTCCCAGGAGCTAGTGAGGCTCTCAGCTGTGAACTCCATATTCAATACCATCAAGTTGGTAGCTTCAAATGGGCCCTGCTGGGGCTATTAACACCAAGGAAGTTGGAAAATGCCTTTTTTTTTTTAATTTTGGGGAGCCAGTTGTCAAACACTTACCAGCACACCACTATCAGGGTGTGCTGGTAAATTTCAGTTACACCAAAATACAAAGAAAGACCAAATACAGGTGAACAAAAAATTTTGTTTAATTGTTCAGATTTAGCATGCTAAAAAAATTTGAGGCCATGTAATTATGCTGTTCGCAATGTAATTAGGAAATTATTTTATAACTATTAATTATCAATGCACGATAAGGCTGGATAGGTTGAACTGTCCAGTAATGAGTCATAAGTTAGAACGCGTGTGAACACCTGGTGTTTTTCTTTCCTGTCATTGTATTTCTGTGACTATATAAATAAACAGCGCCTGGCACTGTTCTAAGATTTCCATGATCTTAATTAAATTAACCCCATGACAGCCCTATGAGGTAGGTCCTATTATGGTTCCCTTTGGACCCTATGAGGAAACTGAGGCACAGAGGATTGAAGTACCTAGCTCCAGGTGATAAAGCCAGTAAGATAATATCAAAAGTCTAAACAAGAGGTGATCTGTGACTGAGCTCAAGGCCTAATGGCCCTCCTGCCCTGTTCTCCAGCCCCTACCCCGAGAATCAGCCTAGATTTTCCCACATCTGCAAATATTTCCTCCCTGTGGGGTTACATTGCCCAGCTCTGGGGAGCTGGCTCCCAAGGCACGGGAGCTCTCCTGTCTCCCACTGTGATAAGCACCATCTCAGGAACACATCCAGGCTGCCAGATCATGGTAGTCTGCTAACATTTCTCATGCACGTTCTCACTCTCTCTCCTTCCCTCGCTGTCTCCCTAGCCCACCCAAGGCCTCTCACACACCCACTTCTCTCTCTGGCAGGGGAAATCACCACCACGTCTCTGCTTGACCGAGAGACCAAGTCTGAATACATCCTGATTGTTCGCGCAGTGGATGGGGGTGTGGGCCACAACCAGAAAACTGGCATCGCCACCGTGAGTGTGCTCCCCTCCCATGCCCCAGTTCCCCTCGCCAGCCAGGCTGCTGCTCCCCGCTTGTATCTCTGGACCGCCGTGCCCTCAGCCAGTGTGAGGCTTTGTGAGAGTGAGCAAGGGGGTGAAAACGAACTCAGCAGCGGCAGAGGTCAGTCCCCGGGGTCACCACAGCTGTGGGGAAGAAAGGCATCACCACCCGGAATGTAGGGGCCCTTGGGAGGAGCAAAATGAATTACTTTCTCTCCTGCCCCTAAAAATCCAGGAGGGCAGGTGGCAGAAGGCATGAGCCCTGTAGGCCTCTCCGTGCTTGGCACCTGCCAACAGAGCAGAAGCAGGCATTCCTGTGAGGAAGAGCAGCTCAGAGCAGGAAGCAGGGCCCTGGAGGGTTCCTGGGGGCTTGTTCTTCCCCGACTGATGTGCCCTGGAGAGTAGAAAGCTAGAGGAAGGAAATGTGGGGGCCTTGAATGAGCTCTCAGCTGCAGAAGTGAAGGGGGAAGTGAGAAGCGCTCTGTGAGAGAGGAAGCGGGAGGACCAGCTCACAGTCACTGCAGCCACCTCCCCGATTTGTTCCCCATTCAGTTTCTTTGGCTCACCCTCAGAACTGTGGCCCTCACCCAGCCTGCAGCAGCCACCACATCCTTACCCAGCCAGAGAGGCTGGAGATGGTATCGCGTGGCCAGGGATTTGGTGTGAAAATCCCCAATGCCCTACTCTGTCAAGGGAGGCCCCTGCTAATAGGAATCAGCCCTATAAATAATGTACCTGGGTGGCAGGTGAGCGAAGAAATTGCTTGGCTTATAGCTGAGATGGGGAAGCTCAAGGGATCCTATTAGATCCCCCACCCTGTCAGTCACCTTCAGCCAAGACTGGAGGCAGGGATGGGAGAAGTCGCAGATCACAGCACAGATTTCAGGGGTCATCACATCCATTCCACTGCCTCCTGATGGGACAACACTGGAACTCTCTCTCCTGAAGGGGCCTGGCTCCTTCCTGTCCTCCAAAGCCCAGGCCCTGCCCAAGGCTTCCAAAGTTGGTGGAGCTGGCAGAATGAATGCCAAGATTGCCCGTGGGCATCTGAGCATGTTTCCCCTGGCAGGCCCTGCCCTGGCCCATCTCAGCTGGGTGCGTCTCCCAGCGCCCCTTGTGGTTTCACAGGTAAACATCACCCTCCTGGACATCAACGACAACCACCCCACGTGGAAGGACGCACCCTACTACATCAACCTGGTGGAGATGACCCCCCCAGACTCTGACGTGACCACGGTAGGTGGTGGCAGAGCAGCAGAACTGCTAGGCGGCCCTTCCCAGGGGTGTGTGCCCCTCCCACCGCGATCCCAGGAGGCCTGCCCATATGGGGCTGGTGGACTCTGTCCCTCTGAGCTGGCTCTTGCAATAGAGTTCTAGCGGTTCTCCTGCATGGTGAAAGGCAGTCAGAGATCAAGGGAAACCCCTCCAGTGTCAGTAGGCCTCAGGCTTTGTCACAGGGAGCTTCAGGCAGCCCAGGGACAGTGGCAGGGGGGCTCTGGCCGGTTCCACTTGCAAGTCACATGTGCCCTTAGAGCCCAGGACTCTGGCCACCTGCTCTGGAGAGCTCCCACCCCTCCACTGCACAAGCCCCAGCTCCACCCCAGCACCTCTCTTTCACTGCTGTGCCCTGCAGCTCCCCCACAGGCTGGCCCCCAGGGCTGCCCAGCAAGGATTTTGTTCACCTCAGGAATTTTCTGGCACAGGTTTGCCAGGTTTGCACAAGCTCCTGTGTGTGTTGTGCACTCATGTGCAGGAATGTGCACAACTCAGGGTGCAGAGGGGAGACACAGCCAAAGCCAGGGCATCCACGGGGGAGACCAGAATCCTGGGGACAATGAGGAAGCCCAGGTCCCAGTCCCATACCATCTTCTCTGCTGGGAGATCCACGTTTTTCAGCCTTCTCCCCCACACCCTGTACACCACACGGCCTCACTTGGGGAGGCTTGTCCCCACAGGAACAGCCCCACGGCCACCCACCCAGCCCTGTGGGGGACCTGAATCCTGACAACTCACAGTAGCGCCATTGACTGAACAGCTGGGATGTGCCCTGAGCTTCACCTGACGGCTTCTCAGGAACTCTCTCCTCCTCACCATAATCTCACATGGCACAGGGATTCCGCTGCCTCTGTACTGTGGAGGAGACAGACTTAGAGCTTGAAGGCTTGCCCAAGGTCCCAGAGCTTGTAAGGGGTGCAGTCGGGACTCGAACCCTGGTCTGTCTGACTTGGAGACAAGGGATTGGAAACCACCTGGCCCAGTCCTTATTCCTCTGGGAGGGGCATCCACACACCAGCTGGCAGCCAGTCAGTGAACATGCGGAAAGGAAGATAGGCATGACGGCCATCCTTCCCTCCCTCTCTTTGTCCTTCCTTCCAGGTTGACCTCCTCTCCCATCCAGAGCCACTGCCAGGTATGGCTCTGGCACTGGAATAGGTACAATGGAATAGAGCAGAGGTGAGGGATCTGGAATCTGTGATTTTTCAAAGTCCCGTAGAGGAATTCCTTCCAGCCCAGGGCCAGGTTTAGAAACCATCACCCTCGCCCTTTGACACAGCTCTCCAGGCTCTTTGGTGGGTGCTCTCTGCTGCCACCTCGTGGGCACTGCACTGCCCCAAGATAACCTTCTCCCCACCCCAGGCAGGGATTCCAAGAGCTGGGGCTGGATCTCACCTCTGAGCACCTTCTGGTCAACCCTCACCTTCCCTTAGGTTTCTGGGAAATTCCTCCCAAAGGGAACTGAGGGGCAGGTGAGGAAGGTTGCTCTGGGAGAAAGGGGTTGCACGGGACACCAGCCTGGATTGCCATTATCAAACAGTATACCCAGCAGACAAGGAGTGGGTGTGCCAGGTGAGGACTGCACACAGCCTTGGGCATCTGCAAGCTCTGGTCCCCACGCCCTTCACCAGGTCTCCTGCCCTCCGCAAGTCCTTCTGAGCCATGAACAGGCACGAGAATGGACCAGGGGCCTGCTGCCCAGTGCCTCCTCACTTTCCAGGAAACCCACAAGCCATCAGGGAATGCTTACTGCATGCCAGGCCCCACGCTTGTCTGGCTAAGGGTACAGGAAGCAACACCAGGCCGGGTGCAGTGGCTCATGCCTGTAATCCCAACACTTTGAGAGGCCAAGGCAGGCAGTTCGCTTGAGCCCAGGAGTTCGAGACCAACATGGGCAACATAGTTAGACCCCCACTTCCCGTTTATAAAAAAAAAATTTTAAGTAGCCAGATGTGGTCGTGCATCCCTGTGGTCCCAGATACTCAGGAGACTAAGGCAAGAGGATTTTTGAGCCTGGTAGATTGAGGCTGCAGTGAACCAAGATCATACCATTGCACTCCAGCCTGAGTGACAGAGTGAGACACTGTCTCAAAAAAAAAAAAAAAAAAAAAATTAAGCTCCCGCCCTGCCTGCCTTTGGGGAGTGTCATGTCACTCTTCTGTTCAAACCCCAATGGTTCCCATCTCACCCTGTGCAAAAGACAGAATCCTTGCCAGACCTACAAAACCCGCAGGGTCCACCCCATTGTCACCCCTGAGGAGCCAGCCGTGTCATCCCAATCTGTAGTACAGAGCGGGTGTGGTTGTTCCACCGCTGGCGTCTGGTAGGCACAGGCTTGAGCTTTTCAGTGCCCCAGGGTAGTATTTGAGACCTGAAAAATAAATGTGATGGCTTGAAAGTTCAAAGAGAAAAGGACAAAATCAAAATTAAAACTTGTTATATGAAACATCTATCAGATGAAAGACGGCAGTTTCAGTAACTATGAAATTTAGTGTTTGTGAAAATTTCATTACATTTGAGGACAAATTGGAGGTTAGATTTTTCTAGAATTCTTGAAAATTTTCCAGAATTTTCTGGAATTCCCAGTTACGTATGATGATTGCCAGGAAATCAGAAATCAAGAAGCTTCAACGTTAGTCAAGTTTGTCATAGCCAAATATTTTGAAAAGGAAGTTATAAAAATTCTTTCAAATTGTATAGCCATAAAACGTATATATGCATTCGTATGTATATACATGGGTATGCTTCATTACCTTGGAGAGGACCCCCTGGGGCCTTCTAGGGCCTCACAGTGGCCTAGGATGAGGTAGGGTCTGTGGCCAAAGTGTGAGGTGAGGTGGCTACAGAGGGAACGGCTAACCGAGGTTCAGGTGACAGAAGGAGGAGGTGATATTTGAACAGGGGCTGGCCCACCACCTGACTCATCTCCCACCCCACCATTCCCACACATCCACGCCCACAACTACCACCCATCACCAACCCACAGGCCTTTCCTTTCCCTGCACCCACTCAACTCTCCCCAAGCTCAGAGCTTTTGCACAACAAGCCCTTTCCTCCCTGACCCCTGCTCTTTCCATAGGTAACTCATTCTCTTTCATCTGTCCCAGCTGAAAACATCAGCTGTCTTCGAGAGGCCCTCCCTGACTACTGTCGAAAGTAGCTCGGACCGCTCTCCAAATTCTGTTTCCTGCAGAGCTGGGCCCACGATCTGTGCTTATTTGTTTGGTAGGCTATTTGCTTATTAAGAGGCACATGGTTTAGTGATTAAGCAGGCAGCCTCTGGTACCAAAATGCCCAAGTTCTCACCCCAGCTACACCACTTACCAGCTGTGTGACCTTGGGCAAGTTGCTTAACCTCTCTGTGCTCCAGTTATTCTCATCTAAAAAATAGGGCTAATAAGAGTCCCCAGCTGATAGAGCTGTGATCTGCGCTTACTGAGCCGAGATATAGGAAGCACTGGCACATGGGGAGTGGTCAGTAAATGGTAGTTGTCATTATCATCACTATCATTACCATCATCTGCTTCCTTTGATGGAATCGCACCTATCTTGTTCACTGTCAAACCACACTGCCTAGCACAGTTCCAGGCACATTGTAGGTGTTCAAAATATTTCAAAATATGTGTTGTTGAGGACTGACTCAGCTGGTGAATATCTTACCTTTCCTTCCCCCAACCCCCCAGCTCAGCCAGGCGGTGGCTGGGTCTTCCTTGTCGGAGGGAGACTAGGGCGTGTGGCCCAAGACTCTCTCAAGAGCCCACTCTAGGCATGGCATGGGCCACAGCCCCTGGAGTCAGAGGCACAAGGCAACCCCAGTGATTTTCAGAGCTTGCATGCAGACAAGTGTCTTCCCACATGTGGCTTCATTTGGGTGCATTTGGAGTTGGTGCAGTGTGTGCATCTGCATGCACCGGGTGTGGCCTGGCATGCAGGCACTGAGGAGGTCCACCTGCACAGGCGTGCGCTGGCAGAGTGGCCACCTCTGTCTGCAAGGGAGATTTTGGTCCCACTCTCCTTTCTGGCTCCTGCAGCTGCCTTCAAGGACCTGGCTGATGGGCATTGATTTAGAGCCTTTCAGAGCCCTCCAGCAAAATAAAGGAGAGGGGAGAAGCAGAGAATTATTCCCCGTCAGGCCAGGAGAAAAATGACGGGCGTGAAATGGGAAATAAATGAGGGGAAAGTGGTGAGATTCTACAAAATCGCCCAGCAGGGAGCCTGCAGGAGGGCTCACAGCCCTCTGCCCTCTCCTGTACTCCCAACCCACCCTGTGACCAGAGAGTGGCCAAGAGGCCCAAAACCAGTGCCATGCCCCAACCAGGGTCACTTGGAAGCAGCTACCCCTGGCACTCTCTGGCATGGTGGGGGCAGGAAGAGGGAATAGAAGAGGAGAACCACCTCCCATGTGAAATTTGTCTCAGCCTGTTCAGCAACAGGCCTGGCCTGGAACAAGTGATTCAACTGCTCTATTCCTCAGTTTCCCCATCCAGAAAAAATAAAACAGGGAGAAAATCATCTCTCCCCCAGGCTGGGTGTGGTGTAATCCAAGCACTTTGGGAGGCTGAGGCGGGAGGATCACGTGAGGTCAAGAGTTTGAGACCAGCCTGGCCAACATGGTAAAACCATGTCTCTATTAAAAATACAAAAATTAACCAGGCGTGGTGGCTCTTGCCTGTAATCCCAGCTATTTGGGAGGCTAAGGTGGAAGGATCGCTTGAAACCAGGAAGTGGATATTGCAGTGAGCCGAGATTGCACCACTGCATTTCAGTCTGGGCGATGGAGCAAGACTCCGTCTCAAAGAAAAAAAAAAAATCTCCCTTTTCAAACTGTTGAGAGAAGCATTGTAAAAACGCAAGCAATGCTGGTCTTCTATGTCCATCTGTGAAATGACTTGGCCTGTTTTAAATTATGCCTGGAGTACCTAAGAGCCCCGTCTCCTGTTTGCAAAATGGGGGTGTTGGGGTCCCCTTTATGGAGGCTAGGGAAACTGAGGCAATATGCCCACAGCGAGATAAGGACACCTCAGGCCTGGAAGGCAGAGACCTCCCCTCCCCTACCCTTTGATGCTGCAAGGCTGGGCTGAGGAGAGGAGGGCTGAGCAGTCCAGGGTGGGAGTGGGGGCTGCCCCCGCCCCTCTGAAGGGGCAGCTGGCCTAGGGCGCCACAGCGTTCAGCCGTGCATCAGCCTCTGTCTCCCCGGCCTCCCCAGGAGCCATGGACAGGGTAGATGGGAGTACTCAGCCGGGGCAGCTCGTCTGTCTGTTCTGGTCTGGTGGCCCCAGAGACACCTCTGGCTGGGGATTAAGCAGAGGAGGGACAGATTCTGCTGCCAAAGCACAAAAGGCTCCACATCAAGTAAGATGAAGGAGCTGACAAGCCTGGCTGTCACCACCGAGTGTACTGCAGTTAAGAATAATCCTGTCCTGATGTGGCCCCAGGGACTGTGGTCACTTCCCCCGCACTGGTCTTGTCCACCCCTGGTGCCACAGTGGCCTCTGCAATGCAAGGTCAGGGATGAGCGAGGGGTAAGGGCCACCTCAGGAGCCTCCAGGCTGGGAGCTGGGTCAGCTCCATGGCTGGGGCTGTGTGACCCTGAGACTGGCCTGTGCCTCTCTGGGCTCTGCTTTCTCCTTGTGGAAAGCAGGGCGGGTGGAGGATGAGGGAGCTTCCCCACAGAGCAGGGGATCCGTGCACGCAGGGGGCCTTAGCGAAGACAGGGAGCCCTCAAAGGCTGCAGGGGGCCCTTTGCCTTTTGTTTACGACCTGGCTGTGTGGGATCTGGGACACTAAGGGACAGCAGGCTGTGGGGTTCAGCGCCCCTGGGTTAGGGCGGCACTGAGCACTGACCCCCTTCATGACATGGGGGTTATAAGTGGGGAACAAGGCTGTGGGCTGGGGAGTTGAAGGGGCCAGAGTGTCTGAGGCCCAGTCCTGAGACCCTGCCTCTTATCAGGGACTGTGTACCTCCCTTCCAGGGAGCTCCACCCTCTCCTTCCTCAACACTCCCCCAGCCCCACAACTGCCCCAGATAACTGGGTCCCGCCTTCTGAAACTGGGGCCCAGCCACGGCTTCCTCCACATGCCCTGTCATCTCTGGTGTCACAATCTAACGCTTCAAAGAAAGGAAGGAAGGAAAGGAGGGTTTGATGAGGAGGAACCCAGTCTCCAAAATCCAGGGTTTCAAATCCTTTCAAAAATCTCAGCTGGAGTACAGACTCCCCAGCCCTTCCCAGCCCCTCCCCTAGAGAACTCCTGCCTCCCATCCCTCTCAGACCCCGCTACTGGGCCCAGCAGGGAGGCTCACTTCCTGGGCTGGAGCCAGGATGCCCCCTCCCCGGGACCAACGTCTGAGCTCAGATACCCCCAACCAGCCCAGAGACACCCTCCCCAGGCACGGCTCAGCGAAGGGGTCTGCTCCCTCTCTGGCAGGTGGTGGCTGTGGACCCAGACCTGGGGGAGAATGGCACTCTGGTGTACAGCATCCAGCCACCCAACAAGTTCTACAGCCTCAACAGCACCACAGGCAAGATCCGCACCACCCATGCCATGCTGGACCGGGAGAACCCTGACCCCCATGAGGCTGAGCTGATGCGCAAAATCGTCGTCTCTGTCACTGACTGTATGGACCCCTCTCGCCCCTCACAGCCCCCACACCTTAGACTGCGGGCATCCCTGGTGACTGGGTCTCTGGGGAACCTGGGCCCACCCAGGAGGGCTATGTCTGATCACTAAGAGTAGGGTAATACCCACACCCCAGTTGTGACTCCCAGAGCACCCCGAGGGAACGGAGGGGGCGGGGGAGGCTAGCTGTGAGGCCCAGGCTGCTTCCTGGAGGGGCCACTGGGACGGAGGGCTCTGAATCTGCCACCCTCTCGCCACTTGCCTTCTTCTGTCCGTTTTCTCTTGCACTCATCTTACCCCGTCCTCAGCCCCTTCTCGCCTTGGTCTCCCCAGGTGGCAGGCCCCCTCTGAGAGCCACCAGCAGTGCCACAGTGTTTGTGAACCTCTTGGATCTCAATGACAATGACCCCACCTTTCAGAACCTGCCTTTTGTAGCTGAGGTGCTCGAAGGCACCCCTGCAGGGGTCTCCATCTACCAAGTGAGTCTCTCTCATCTCATTCCTACCAGCCCAGAAGTGGGCAGTGGGTGCCCGAGGGGCCTAGCCCAGGCTGAACACTTTGCAGAGCTGGGGCAGGGGAGGAGCTGGATCTTGAAGGACAGAGGCTCTGGAGATGTGGAGGGAAGTGTGGCAGGAAAGGATAGTGAGATGGGCAAAGGCAGAGGGAGAGAGGCAAGATGGAATTCTGGAAGTCAGGTCCAAGTTTCTCAGGGCCTGATTATGGAGGTCTGGCCCAGGAACTTCCATTTCCTAAGCCTGCAGATGGTTCTAGAATACAAAGAAGAATACAAAGAATAAAAAGAATACAAAGAAGGCCAGATGAGTGTAGCCCTGGGCATCCTCCTCTCCCATGGCTTCCCATAAGGAAGCCATGGGAGAGGAGGCTTCCTTATGGAAGCCCCTACTACAGTAGAGGGGCCTCTCCCCACTTTGCAGGGCTCTAAAGAGATTTGCCCAAGACCCTGTGGCCAAGCAAGGCACAGTCTGATCTTGGGCCTGGCTTCTTTGCCTCTTGTTCCATCATCCTCTGGTCAGGGGGATCCTGAAGGTGCTGGTTTAGGGGAGAGGACATCCAGGGTTTCAAGTCCTTTCAAAACCTCAGCCCTCCAAAGGCCGTTTGGAAACAATGGAGACCCTCCTGCTTAAGAGCATGGGCTGTGGAGTCCAAACAATAGGGGTGCGGATCCCATCTCCAGCACCAGGGTGCTGTGTGACTTGGAGCAAACTGCTTAACCTCTCTGAGTCTCAGTTTCTCATCTGTAAAATGGAGATAATAATAGTACCTGCCTGGCTGTGCTGTGGGGACTCAATCACACACATGTATGAAGCACCCTGGAACTTGGACACAGGAAACACGGTAGCTGTGGTGATCACTGTGTATCTGTCACGAGGGCTTATATCTGAGACGCAATGGCCGTATCAGGTTAGCCTGTTCCCATTAGAAGAAGACGGGGTTGTTTCTCAGGATGCCAGAGGGAGTGAGCTTGGTGGTGCCCCATAGGCCCGATGTGCCTCAGTTTCTTCATCTGTAGTAGGAGGTGGTGTTCTTTGGTGGGTCCCCAAACCCCCAGCAGGGGGCGCCACAATCCAGGGAACAGCAGCCGGTCCCCGAGGAAGCCCTCAGACTAGAGGGGAGGCGGGGTGAGAGTGAGTCAACCCCCAAACCCAGTTCTCTGGGGGCTCACGGCCGGCGAAGAAAGATGCCCACCAGTGCAACTTCTGAGTTCATAGAGGAAGGAGCGGGGAGCGTTTAATTTGGAAACTGTCCTCACGTACAGGATGAGGGCCCTCCCTTGAACTGTGGCTCCCTGGTCCCACCTAGGACCTCAGGCGATTCAGATTTCTGCGGGTTGTGCAGAAGAGCCTTCTCCAGGGGAGTAGAGCTGTGTTCAAGTAAAGTAAAAATACTGAGCCCCCTGTCCTGGAAAGCATTCAAGCTGAGTCCAGACACCTCTCGTCCAGTTTGCTGGATGTGAAATAGATCAGACGACCTTGATATTGTCTTCCAATCCTGAGAGTCTTGGCTTAATCCCAAACTCTTATTTTAGCTGTTATTACACATTTCCCCAAATGCCTTGGGTCCACTTCAGTAAAACTTTATTCAGGGAACCGGGGTCTTGAGTTGGGCAATCTGATCAGGGCTGGAGGTGCAAATGAGAACAGTGTAGGAACTGGGAGGAGGCTTGCCTGTACATGGCCGCAAACAGCTTTTTAAAAAAATAGTCATAATGAAATCCTCAAGTGACTTTTTAAAAAGAACGCTTGATGTCATTTTATTTTTGTTGTTGCTGTCTCACAAATCAAAGCAAAGCGGGGGAGGGGAAGCCTGTGGATCCAGCCTTCTATGTGGTTGAACTCCAGATAATGGTGGGGTCCTTAAGCTGGAACAGCTGCTCCAAATCTGGAAGGGCTTCCTAATGGGGAGAGCAGGAGCTGAAGGGGGGAAAGCACTGTAGAGACCTGAGCTCTTATTCTAAAAAGTCCCTCTGCCACCCCATCGCCGGCCTCACTTGGTGCATCCGGACGCCTTTCAGCTGACGTGCGACCCCCTTAGAGAGCATCTGAGAGGGTGCCCTGGGGACAGTGGCCTGGCCTAAGGCTTGGAGGGGAGCAGATGTGTTTGGCTGCAGCCAAGTGTGGCTTGGCAGGGAGGAGGGAGCACTTCTTGGGGGAGAAGCACCCGTCCCAGTGTCCCCTCCCCACCCTCATGCTGCCCCTCCTCGCCCTCAGGTGGTGGCCATCGACCTCGATGAGGGCCCGAATGGCCTGGTGTCCTACCGCATGCCGGTCGGCATGCCCCGCATGGACTTCCTCATCAACAGCAGCAGCGGCGCGGTGGTCACCACCACCGAGCTGGACCGAGAGCGCATCGCTGAGTACCAGCTGCGGGTGGTCGCCAGTGACGCAGGCACGCCCACCAAGAGCTCCACCAGCACGCTCACCATCCACGGTGAGGGGCGCGGGGGCTTCTGCTGTGTGCTGTGTGTGGGCACAGGCCTGGGTCAGGGCCAGGGGGAGAGGGAAGCCCATGTCCCCCACTGCTGTCTGCTGGACTTGTAGGCACAGGCTCCCTTGTTAATGAGGCGCCCTCCTCAGCTGGAGCCATTCAACACAGCAGAGGCTTCTCCGCACCTGGCCACTGCCTTCAGTGCCCCAGAGCTCAGGGGCAGTGGCCTGGACCTGCTGCCAAGGCCCCGTCACCCCCACCCCTCCTGGCCTCTGATCACAGCAACAGCAGAGAGGGCTTGAGTAGGGGCCGGGACCCTCAGGGTCATGAACAGGCAGGGAGGGTGCAGAGCCCTTTGTCTTCTTTGGAAGGCCAGAGTTTTTGTTTGGGAGACATAAAGGAGACCTCCGTCTCCCATGGGTGTGGAACCCCTGGGCTGGCAGTGGCAGGGCATCACCCTGGGAAGAGAGCAGCTGGGACTCCCAGACTCCCTAAGATCGTCATGCCCCTGGGACTGTCGTGCTCATTCCCAGTGTCTCTGCCCTCTATTGGTGAAGGGACGGGGTACTGTTTCCACTCTGGATGAATCATTAATTTTCAGGACAGGATGGGGACGTAAGCTGTTGCCAAGGGGCCAGGAATAACCCCAGGGAAATAAGGGCAGAGTTTAACAGGCAAGACATGGCCTGTTCCCAGGCCTGTTCAGTCCCATGCTAGCTCTGCCGGCCTCCGTGGCTTGGCAGGGGGGCGGGGGAGGGAGTAGTTAGCTCAGCACAGGCGCAGACACTGACCCTCTTCAGTGGAGACCTGAGATGGCAAGGATTTCAGAGAGCACGACATTCTCTCTCCCATCGGTCCAAGACTTGCCTGTGGGTTTCTGGTGCCAGTTTCAGGATCCCCTTCTTGGCCGATGATTGACAGGGAATATGTCCCAGCTTTAAGAGAGGACCCCTGGGGGGCCTTTCTCCAAGCCCCAGCAGAAGTCATAACATCAAACGGGCCCAGCATCTCCCCTGGTGATACCACTTAGAGGAACCCAAGTAGGGTGGGGATCACTTCGCTATGAAGGTTGTCCAAGCCCCATCTGCCGAGGTATAGGGGCCCAGCAAGCAGAGCTGAATAAACAAATCCGTAAGGGAAATTAAACCTTATTTCAGGGGGTGGGATTTTCAAAGTGAGCTCCCTTTGCTGAAACTCCATTGCACACTGAGGGTAGATCTTGAGGCTCCAGCTCTCCACTCTGCCACTGTGTGACTGGACAAGTCACTCAGCTGCTCTGAGCTTCCGCTTCCTCAGCTCCACAGTGTGTGTAATAATGCCTGCCTCCTAGGGTGCTCTGAGGGCTGCCTGTGGTTCTGTATGGGAAGCATTCAGCATGGGCTTGGCATGCTGGACAAGCTCGTAAATGGTCACTGTCATCATCGTTGTCGTGATTGTCCATGTTGTCATGGTCGTTGTTAGGCACATACTGGAGAGAGGTTCTAAGGTTTTCTCTCCTCCCTTAGCTGAGCAGCAATAAGCCCCCAGGGCACAGGGACAGCGGGAGGGTCTGGAGCACTGGTGGGCTTGGTCCTGGCCCCAGTGGGCATGGGCGGCCCTGGGCTCATGGCCAGGAGGTGTTGACACAGATGCCACTTGGAGCCCGTGACTCCCTTGGGAATTCGTTCCCTACTTGGTCTGGGGCTGGAGCTGCTGCTCCGGAGCTGGGTCATCTGCAGCAGAAGCCAGGCCTAGCCCCGGCGCCCATTCTGCCCTGCAGTGCTGGATGTGAACGACGAGATGCCCACCTTCTTCCCGGCCGTGTACAACGTGTCCGTGTCTGAGGACGTGCCGCGCGAGTTCCGAGTGGTCTGGCTGAACTGCACGGACAACGACGTGGGCCTCAATGCCGAGCTCAGCTATTTCATCACAGGTGCTGTCCCCGCCTCCGCCCACCTGTGCAGGCCTCTTGGGGCCCTGCCCCACCCCTCCCAGATGGACCAGGTGGGGGGCAGGTGAGGGTGGAAAAGAGGTCAGGGCTCTACCGTGGGGCTTTAACCCCTGTTGGTGCCTCCCGAGGATTTGCTCCTGGCTCTTCCCCAAGGGCTTTGCAGCCAGATCACTCTGGATTGGCTCCCTGGGGACCTCCTGAACCAGTTGCTTGCAGGGATGGGGAGCATCTACCAAGGTTCATTCTAGAGGGAGGTGAGGCCCCATGATTCCTAGGGAGGAGCCCTGAGCTGCACTCCCTGCCCCAAGTATGGGTGGCAGAGCAGTGACTGGAGGAATGTGGCCTCATCCTTCCTTGGGGACCCGTTACTCAGGAGAATTCCCATCTGTTTAGAGGCAGATGGTTTTGATCTCCCTAAATGAAATGGTTTTAGCTCAAAAATGTTGCCTAGCTGTTGCCTGCAGAGCTATGGCCGCAGATGATGAGGCCATGTCCTGGCTCACAGGGGAAAGTGAACCGCGATGGATTAGTGATGTCTGCCACGGTGATAGGATTGGTAGGTGGTGGCACACGTCCCATGGATTTGCCATTCCTGGATGAGAACACAGCTTCTTAGCCTCCCTGACACACGAGAGGTGCTGGGACACATGGGGGTGCGGTCTTCCCCGTTCCTCAACCCTCCTTGGCCCTTTTACCAACTCAGTCTTCTCTCTGTCCATGACCTGCCTACCAACACACATGTGCCTCTGCATATGTGTGCCTGTACACACAGCAGGGCACACACCAGCCTCCCAATGCCCCCCCGTGAAGCAAGGAAGCCCGGCCCACAGCCCATCTGTGGCTCTGCTGCGGCCAATGTGACCTCCCAGCCCTCAGCCTTCCCTTTCTTCCCTCGACTCCCTGAAGGGGCCCAGCGCCCTCAGGCCTACTTCTCACACTCTGGCCCTCAAGTCGGCCCTAGGGAGGGCTTAGTTGCCAAGACCCCTCACATGGCACCAGCTCCGTGGCTCCACTGCCCGCACTTCTTACGTCCTAGTTCTCCCCTGGGCTCCCTGGGAGCCAGTGTGTGTCCCTTGTCGATGGTACTTCAGACACTGGGGAGCACTGGAGGTCTGGGGGTCAGAATGCTTTCCCCAGGGACAAACCAGCAAGGACAGGGGAGCATCTGGCAGCCAGCATGATGACTCTTCAGCACCCCAAAGTGGTGGGCTCCTGCCGACTGCCCAGAGCCCTCCTGGATTCTCAGTGTGCTTTCTCCAAGGAGCTGAGCCCAGTCCTGCCCAAGCTTACCACAAAGCTGGTGCCATGGCGCCCTCTGCTGCCCAGAACACCACACTGCTCGCCAGCTGGCAGGGGAGGGGTCTCCACACTATTCTGGGAGTTCTTTGCTGACTCCCTTCCACCCCAAGAGGAGACCCTCACACTTCCCACCTGTCCCAGAACTCAAGGAGACTCTAATCCCTGTCTCCTGTATGCCTGCCTTGACTCCTCCCTCTGTGGAGCCTCCATGTCCCCACTCAGGGAGCTTCGATCCTCAGCCCATCTCACCTCCGAGATGAGGGGCCTGGGGGATGCCCAGCCCACCCCAGAGTTCTCAGCCGCATATCCAAGCCCCTACGCAGGTTAGCTGCTCAGACGCTTCTGCAGGACAGGCCGGGAGCAGAGGGGTGAAGGACACGCCCAGGGACCCACACACGGAGAAACCCAAGGTGGCACAGGCACACCGCCGAGCGAGGGGTTCTCCTCTGTGAAGTGGAAGCTAAATGAAGTGGTCTGCATGAAGTACCTGTAAACAGGAGGTGCTTCATGAAGGTTAGGAAACGATTCCAGGCATCTGGCGCCCCCACTGAGCCCATCCAGGCTGCACCCGCATCAGAGCACCTCAGGCAAGGCTGAATCCGCAGCACAGTCTCCCACTCCTGAACTCACCAGGGCAGGTCCCAGCTCAGGAGCAGAGCCCCCGCTTCTCCTGGCCAGGAGCTCTGTTTCCCAGCCGGAAGCTTCCTGTCCTTCACCCACAGGTGGCAACGTGGATGGGAAGTTCAGCGTGGGTTACCGCGATGCCGTTGTGAGAACTGTGGTGAGCCTGGACCGGGAGACCACAGCTGCCTACATGCTCATCCTGGAGGCCATCGGTATGCACCAGCCCCTCACCCACCAACACAGTGATCTGGGCAGAGTTCACACTGAGTGCCTCCCAGGAGCCGGCCTTTTGCTAAAGGCTGAACTCTGCCCAGGTGCCAGTGGAGAAAGGGCCACCAGACATTCACCAAACATTACTGAGCACTTGCCAGGCATGAGGCTCACTGTGTGGTGCTACATGCGAGACTTTAGGATGGTAAGGTGGGAGCTGCATGGGAGACCCACGTGTGGACAAATTATTGCAAATCCAGGCAAGCCAGCAGGAAGGGGAAAGGATGACATAAGAGTATCAGGCAGTGGTGCAGACACAGAGAGGGACAGGTCATGGGAGGCTTCCTGGAGGAATCGACATCTGGGAGTGCCTTTGAGTGAGTTAGGACCCTTTCAGCTGCAAATTTTTAAATAAAACGAACTGACTTCAGCAATATGGGCTCACAAAATCAGTCCACTGGGAGATGGAGCTTCCAGTATGACTGGATTCAGGGCTCAGGTGACACCTCAGGCTTCAGTCTCTGCATTGGCTGGTGCTGCCTCCTGTGTGTTGATGTATTAGTCTGTTTTCACGCTGCTGATAAAGACATACCCGAGACTGGGTAATTTATACAGGAAAAAGGGTTTAGTGGGACTTACGGTTCCACGTGGCTGGAGAGGCCTCACAATCATGGCAGAAGGCAAGGAGGAGCAAGTCCCATCTTACACAGATGGCAGCAGGGAAAGAGAGAATGAGGAAGATGCAAAAGCAGAAACCCCTGACAAAACCATCAGATCTCATGAGACTTATTCACTCCCACGAGTACAGTATAGGGGAAACCGCCCCCATGATTCAGTTATCTCCCACTGGCTCCCTCCCACAACACGTGGAAATTATGGGAATATCGTTTACGTTGAGATCTGGGTGGGGACACAAAGCCGAACCGTATCAGTTGGTGTTATTCTTCAGCTCACATGGTGGCAGGTCATTGCCCCAGCCTCACCTGTACACATTCTCAGGTTCAAGTGCAGCAGCAGGGAAGACAGCACTTGTCTCTTTCCCCTCCCTGGCAGAAGCCCTCAGGTCAGCTCTACATAGATCCATTCTGCCCTAGTGCCCATTCCTGAGCCCCTCACTGTGGCCAGGGAAGTGAGATGTGCTGATTACTTAGGCCTAAGTCACTTGCCCATCCTTGGAGCTGGGGGCAGTCCCATCTACCCAGCATTCCAGGCCTCAGAGCCTGGAAGGGAGGGTCCACGGGGGGACATTCAGGACATGGCCTTCCCGGGGGAGCACCGGGCAGTGCTCATGGACAAAAACAAGAGGTGCCCACTGCAGCCTTGGAGGCCACATAAGGTTTCAGTACATGAAGAAGCAGGGAGGGCATTTCAGACAGAGGCACCAGCCCATGCAAGAGCCTGGAGGTGGGAAAGCGCCCTGTGTGCATCAGCACATGTGCATACACTGCAGCTGGCCATGGAGTGGCCCACACTGGGGAAGGGGAGGCTGTGATCAGGCAGGGCCATGTGTGGAGGCCTAAACATTGGCCAAGAAGTTTAGTCTTCAGTCTCTGGGCAGCAGGGAACCCTTGAGGGCCCCAGAGGGGAAGAGTGGTGGGATGAGGCCTGTGCCGCCAGGTGCCCCTGGTCCTCCCAGGAAGTTTGCAGTAGCTGAGTAAGAAGGGAATGTATTCTCTGGGCCTCACTCTTTCCAACCATCCGTCCCTTCCCAGCCTGCCCATGCCCAGATGCCTCTGCCCTCTGCCCTGCTCTCCTCCCCTCTTGGAATGGCCACCCACCCTCTGGAGACTTGTTATCACCCCTGAGTCCAGCCTTCACGTTGGGCATTGGCTGGCAGGAGGAGAGGGCTTCCGCCAGCCTTCCAGGGAGCCTCCCCCCAACACACCAGTCCCAGCCAGAGCAATAAGCCAGCCCCCAAGGGTGGTGGGAGGCTAGTCTGGAGAGGAGCTTTGGAGGGTGAGAAGACCTACCTCCAGTGAGCGACAGCACAGTCACATATGGTCAGCTGGCCTGGGGAAGAAGCATGGAGTCACCCTAGGCCTCCAGCCTACTCCAGCTGCCTGCACTCCCCGCTGGGGTGACTACTCTTGTCTGGACATGCAACGCTGGTTACAAGCTCCTTCCTCCAGGGAGGACAACTCAAGAGCTGCCCCGGGGCTGAGTGAGTGCCCCATCCTCACCACTTCCCAGCCTTGGGAGGTTTCTGCTGGGAACTGGATGGACAGAGTCTCCGGGTACCTTAGGCTTAGATCCCAAGCAAAACCCGTGTCCCTGAATGCGGAGGGGATGTTTGTTTGACCTATCCAATATTTTATAAAGAATGACCATTAGTTGTGAACATTTAAAGATCAGGAGATTTTATTTAAAAGCTCAGATGTTCAATTTCTCATGAGAAATCAGAAGATCTGGTGTCCCTGGGCCCACACTCTGCCTGTCAGCTGTGGACTGGGGTGGAGGACAGCTGCCCCTCGAGCAGGGGCCCATCCAGGTGTTTGGCCCGGGTGCTGTACCCGCCAGTCCCTGAGAGCAGTTGGTTTTTTGCTCTTAGTGCCTGTATCTGCATCCTAAATTTGCCACGACAAACTACCACAAACTTAAAACAGCAGAAGTGTATTCTCTCCTGGTTGTCGAGGCCAGAAGTTAGAAATTCAGGTGTTGGCAGGGTCATGCGTCCTCCAAAGGCTCTAGGGAGAATCAGTCCTAGACTCTCCCAGTTTCTGGAGTTGCTAGGCATTCGGTGGCTTGTGGTAGCGTCACTCCAACCTCTGCCTCCATCTGCATGTGGCCTCCTCCTCTCTGTCTCAAACCTCCCTCTGCCTTTCTCTTACAAGGACACTTGCCATTGGGTTTATGGGCCACCCAGATCGCCCAGGATGATCGCTTCTCAAGACCCTTAACATAATTACATTTTCAAAGGCCTTTTTTCCCAAATAAATTAACCTTCACAGGTTCCCAGAGATTTAACATGGGTCTGTTTTTTGGGAGCCATTCAATCCACTCGAGTGCCTCGGTTACCGCCTCCGTAAAGTGGGGATGACAGTAAAGTGCCTGCTTCGTGGGTTGCCATGAGGACTAAATGGGTTAGAAGAATGGCTGGCACATGGTGTTATCTAAGTATTCGATACTGTTAGTGTTATTCCTAAGCTAAAAAGAAGTCACCCCTTGCAAAGGCTAGGGCAGATGGGGTGGAACAGGGCACCTCTCTGGCTGGTGCCCAGGAGTGTGCAAAGGCGCAGGCAGCTGCTAACACCTGTCTTCCTTCAACTCCCACAGACAACGGCCCTGTAGGGAAGCGGCACACAGGCACAGCCACCGTGTTCGTCACTGTCCTGGACGTGAATGACAACCGGCCCATCTTTCTGCAGAGCAGCTATGAGGCCAGCGTCCCCGAGGACATCCCCGAAGGCCACAGCATTGTGCAGGCAGGTGGCCTGTGGCTTCTGGGGCAGGTGGTGGGCTGGGGGAGGTGGGGCCACACACAGCCCTGAGGGCACATGCTCAGTGGCACCAGAGGCAGAAGCAAGTAGGGGCCCAGGGTGGATCTGCTGCTCTGGAAGGTGCTGTGGGGAAAGGGGAACCCAAGCCCCCTCCCATCCCAGGGAGTGTGGGCTCCCAGGTTGCAGAGCTGAGGATAGGGCTCTGGCTCCCCACAAACAGAAGGAAGCCTTGGCCTCCCCCTCCATATCTCCTGCCCCACCCAGAAGGGCCTTTCAGTGTAGGGGGGAGAAGGAGATGTCACAATTTCCCGGAAAGGAGTTGAGGAGAGAGCCAGGGCCCAGCAAGGCCCAGAACAGAGCCGCTTTCACAGAGCCCTTGGCCGAGGCTCCCCTCTTGGGAAGTAAACAGGCACAAGAAGAAAGGGCTCCTTTGCCCAGGGAGCAGGCACAACAGCTCCAAGACTCAGAGGGAGAGAGGGGAGGACCCTGAAAACGATTTGGGTGCCCCCCCAACCTCTGCCCAGAGGCCTCAGTTGCTGGGTGGGGAGGGAGGCCCGGAATGAATGAGTCTCTTTACCAGCTATGGGATTTCCGACCCGGAGGCTGAGCCAAACAGCGAATCTGGGCCTGCCCACTGGGGCAGGCTCCTGGGCTTGGGAGGGACAGAAGCGTGGGAGGCTGGCAATGCTCCCCTCCCTGCATCGGGACCAGGAGGAGGGCAGGAAAGGGCTGGGGAGCAGGGAGCTGACTCCCAGAAACACAGAGAGCCCAGAAAGCCCTGGGGATTTGCGAGAGTGTGGTGGCTAGCTCCAGAAGGAGGAAGGAGAGGGTTCTCTCGATCAGAGCCTCAGCTTGTAAGGACTTGGAGCATAACCGCCTGGCCTGGTACCTGAAACCCAATTGAGAGCCCCTCCCCGTCCTGGGCTTTTCCTTCTTCAGGCCTCAGGGCAGCCTCACCCCCTACCCCAACTTCCAGGAAGAGAGTGCCGAGTGGCCAGCAGGGCCTGCTGGTGGGGTGGATGGCTACAAGCTGAATCCAGCCTGGGATGTGCAGGGAGGCCCCAGGGGAAGCAAACCAGGAAGAGGTTACTGAGCCGGAAGGGAGAAAGGAGCAAAACCCTTAGGGAGGAGGCCTGCCCCACTTTCTAAACCCAAAGACTTGATTTCTATTTACACAATACTACTACTACTGAAATCCTAGAGCCAGCGAGTTAATACAGGGCAGCGCTGATTTCTCCCATTTCTCAGGGAGAAATGCAGGGTCTCAGGATGACTTCTCCAAGGTCCTCTAAGTAAGTTTCTTGTGAAGCTGGACTCACTTTTTGAGATCAGATTGACTTGGAAGGGACAGTGGGCTTCTCCAATAGGGCCTGCTTGGAGAGAAATCTTTCTAGGGGCATCTGAGGGAAGATGAGGCTCCGTGTTGTGCCGGCTTCCACCAGGACGCCTGCCTCAGAGGGTGGGGACACCCCCAGGCTGGGCCACTCTTCACTCTGTACACAGAAACCTCATACTTCTGTGCACAGAACTGGGGAGTCAAAGTGAGGGGCTGGACAAGGTCTGGCTCTCTGCAAGCTCCCAAGCTGGTAGGAAAGAGAAGACATAGACAAGAAGGACCCATGCTGCCAAGAGAATGTTCCTTGTCCTCCCCAAGAGAGGTAGGAGACAGTAGGGGCGGCTCCAGACAGGAGGGCTTCACGGAGTGTGTGTGTGTGAAGCATAAGCCACAGTTAGTGGGTGACAAGTTGTTCAGTTTCCTTGGAGTTTTGGATCAAGATGAGGCTAGAAAGGTTCACTGGAGCCAGCTCCCAGGGGGCACTGCACGCTGGGCTGAGGAGCTTTGGCTATGTCCATTTGGCACTAGGGAGCCAGTAAAGGTTTTGGAGCTGGGGAGTGGCAAGCCAGAGTTCACTCCTTGGGAAGACTTGGCTGGCTGCGCTGTGGGTCACAGCAGGATCGGGGTGGGGCAGCTTTGTGATGGGATCCTGGCCAGCTGACTGGGACAGGAGCTGGGCAGCCCAGGTCCTCCCTCTGCCCACCCTTCAAATTTGGGACCTGACCAAAGTGTTTAACCCTGGCGTTGGGGTGAGAGGTCAAGGGTTTGGGATTCTGAGAAGCCTATCCTGGGGTGGGACTGCTTTGACAGGTAGTCAGCAAAGCACTCACCAAAACCATAGATAGCATCCCTAGTGTGGGCCGGACCCGAGACCCCACAGCTGTCCTGGAGAGATCTGGACCATCCCACCCTCAAGGAGGCCACTGCTTTCCCTGGGTGAGGTGTGGAGCTGCTGTGAGCTGTCATCCTCCAAGCCCAGGTGGCATCACCTCCAGCTGCTGGAAGTGCCCTGCCTCTTGCCACTCTGTCACAGCACCTGCTCTGGCCTCTGAAGGGAGCCTCCTTGTTTATCCTCAGTCCCTTCTTGATCAATCCCAACGTGGGTGCCTGAAGAGGGGCCACCAAGATGGCTGCCAAGACCGTGCTTGGAGAGCCCCGCTTGCTCCTCCTCCCAGCCGGCACCCAGGCATCTGATCCACCAGGACGGAGGCAGCTGCTCCCACAGGCAGCGCCAGGCAGATGCTGGCAGCATCCAGGAAACCCAAGGAAGGCAGCCCCGAGGTTTTGCTCCAGCACTGGGCCAGCACAGATGGCAGGACAGTGCCTTGGCCCCGGTGTAGGCTGAGCATTTCACTTGGCTAAAGAAAACCTTTGCCACTTGGCAACTTCTCCAAGCTGGGCTTTGGCACGTGGAGGGCAAGGCTTCTGTGACGAGCGAGGCTGCTGCTTCTAGGAGGTGGTTACAAGCCCCAGATTGTGCCCTGTGGAGCCTCAGGCCAAAGGCCCAGATGACCACGAGCGCTCATCTCTTGACCAGAAGTCTTTCATCAAGCAGCAGCTAGGGGGTCTGCAGAGAGGAAGGTGCTCTTCTGAGGATCATCTTTAGGGAAGGGCACTGGCCTGGGCATGCAAGGAGCTTCAGGGGTGAGTGTGTGGCCCGGGCTGCTTGGGCCACTGTCTTCCTGCAGCCTGCAGCACCGGTCTCTGAAGCAGGAGGATCTACAGGTAGACCTGGGGAGTGTGGGGGCATGTGTGTGGACACCCCGTCACATCTTGGTAGACTCTGTGCAGTCACAGTGGCCGCGGTGGTCTTCGGGGCCCGGCAGGGGCCGTCGAGGGGCAGTGGGCCGGCCACGGCGGAAGCTGTTCAGGGAGAGGCGCAGGGAGCCCAGGCGCTTCCAGAGCCGGAGCTGGGGCTCACTGGGGCTCCCGGGGTGGTGGGGCATGCACTCGCGAGCCCTGCGGCGGCTCGGGTCCAGCGCGGCCGGCTTGCAGAGCATCATGAACAGCAGACAGGTGGCCAGCAGGAGGAAGATGCAGGCCAGGGCAATGAGCATGGGGAGTGGGTCAGTTGCCTCTGCAAGGGTCCCGGGAGTGACGGGGACTGAGAGAAAGGCGAGGGGGCTGATGGCTGGGGAGCTGGCGAGGCTGGGGTCCTCTGTGCTCATGGCTCCTGCAACAGCAACAGGACAGAAGCTAAAAGCCAGATCAGCTGGACCCAGGGCAGCGGGTGCAGGGGAGACTTACCTGGAGAACATGGATAGGGTGAGGCACTGTTAAACTGGACGGCATCATAGCCACATCACAGGTTAGGCCAGTGAGGTCCAGAGACATGACAAGTCTAAGTGCATACACAGCTGACCAGTGATGGAGCTGGGCCCAAGCTCAAGCTCTCGTCCTGCTCCACCCCTGCCCATCTGACATGGAGACAAGAGGGCAGTGCCTGTCCGCATTCTCAAATCAATCCTCGTGAATCATCACAGGGTCTTAGGCCTGGAAACTTGGGACCAACTCCGTCAATAACTTGCTCTGTGGCCAGCAGCGAGTTATGGATGGTAACAGACTGTAGCTGCCAGGGTCCCTAGCAGTTATCTAATGCCCAGGCTGCAAACTGGGGGCCCACAGGTGTGTTTAGTTGGGTCCTTGCCGTGTTTTTATCAATTTAATTGTGAGTATTTTCAAAATAATAACAGATTTCACAAAAATATCTGGGTGCCTGAACTCCCTTGAAATGTCAGAATTTCACCACTGGCACTGGCCCATGTTCCTGCCTCATCCCTGTGTCTGGGGTTGAGCAGCCATTGCCCCCTGTAGACAGGGCACTGACCTCCCACTCCCCACACTCCCCCACAGGCCCACCACACACCTTATTTCACCTGCCTGGCCCCGTAGGGATTCCTGTGGCTGCTTCCCAATGCAGTCCAACTTGCTCCCATGACAGGTGGAAAACTGAGGTCCAAAGAGGGGATTTGGCATTAGGGAGCCAGTGAAGGTTTTAGAGGTGGGGAGTGACAAGCCAGAGCTCACTCCTTGGGAAGGCTTGGCTGGCTGCATTGTGGGTCACAGCAGGGTGGGGTGGGGCAGCTTGGTGGTGGGAAGGCCAAGGTCCTATTGTGAGCCAGTGGCCGAGTAAAGGCCAGAAGCAGGTCTCCTGACTCCTGGCCCCACGGCCTTGCCACCCCTCTGGCCCCTAACCCTTTCTGAGCTCAGTGAACTGCTCTGGGAACAGGTGGGAAATACACCCACAAGGAGTTGACAAGGGGGGCTGGAAACCCCCCAGGGACATTGTACACCTGACAGGGCATTTCCGTTCCCACCGAAGATCATCCCATTAGATGCAGTGCAGCAGATGGTCCTTGTTGATGGAAAACTAGGCTGAGCTTTTGGCTCAATATGTCTAGGGTGATAAAAATGCTCACAGAGCCTGGCCGGCAGATAACGCATGGCCAGAGGGTACAGATGAGCAGCGCCACCTGGAGAACACTGACTGGGCCCTCTCGAGGAAGTGGACGAGCCTCAGCCCAGACCCACGGTGCCAGTGCCGGAGTGCAGGCCCAGTGTGGGCAGCTCTGTCAATTTCCCAAGAGAAGCCAGAAATCTGGATTTTTTTAAGGCAAACATTCTAGACGTTTAAATGTTGGCAGCTAATTCAAACTTGTTGAAGGCAAGAAAGAAGAGAGGTGGGATGGGGGAGAACACAGCAAAAGCCAAATAAACTTGATTTCAAAATAATGTGAAATGAATTTTCAAATATTTGAAACACTCCATAGGCCAAACCAAACACATAAGCAGAGGACGTCCAGCCTGCAGGTCAGCATATGTGATCTTTAAATTCTACTGACGTGGACAAGCAATCCCAGGGGTTCTGATAAAAAGTCATGATTTCCCTTTGACTTTGGGGTCTTTCCTTTTCATGAGGGTGGAGGATAGCAGATTTTCCTCCTTCCCAACTTGCAGCTTAGATAGCAGTTGAGTTTCTAGCACGGAAGCTCAGGAGGAGGAAAGGCGTCAGGTCACGCTCAGAGAAGCCCTGCCACAGGTAGCGGGGAGGGGAGTGGGCCACCTAGTCCCCCACCCGAGGGACTCCTGTCCCTACCCCGGGCACTCACCAGCAGTTGCAGGACCTCACTCCTGGCTCCCCGTGCCCAGTCGACTGAGGGCATGCAGAGCACCCCACCTCCCACCCACTCCCCACCACAACCCCTCCCAGCACTTCCAGGCAGAAAACGACCCCTCCCAGCGCCCGGCTGGAAAGTGTGATGCCCGTCTAGCTGCCCAGGGCCTCCGCCTTTGCAGCTTCAGGCCTAGAGAGCACTCTGGCTGTGCAGCTGTGCATGGGTTGGTCTTTCCTTGAGTCTGAGCAGGGAGGAGGGACAGGGTGTGCTCACTGCCCACTCTCATGGGGAGAAAATCAGCCATCCCTCTCTTCTACCCTGGACGATGCTTGGCCGGGAATAAGAAAACAGCAGCCTGAAATGGGGAATGCCTCAATCCTACTAGTTCTAATGTTATTTCAAGGCCTTCAAAGGAATCTGGAGACCCTATTGGGTTAGCAAAGAGGATCCAAGCTTCAGGCCTTGGGACCTGCTTTAATAAAAAAATAAGTGAGGCCAGGCGTGTTGGCTCACGCCTGTAATCCCAGCACTTTGGGAGGCCGAGGCAGGAGGTTCACTTGAGCCCAGGAGTTTGAGAACAGCCTGGGC